CTTTTCCAGGAATAGAATTATCATATTATCCTTCCTCTCACTAATTTTATATAATAAATATTTTTATAAAAATAAATTTATATTATATTAAATATAGCATTATGACGACGATGGTAATAAAATTTTAGGTATATTCTTATACATTTACAATGTTTTTTGACAGGGTCCAGTGGAAGTTGGAATATTTGTTAGCAATCTCTTGGACTGTTAGGACTTTTTACTATATATCTGTACATAACGAAAAATATATAAGTTTTGGATAATATTACGGAGGATTCTCATGAAAAATTTGTTCCAAAGGCAGGCAACAGGAAACTCAGAAATTTCAAAGCTGTACAGGCTATGACGGTATATATTAGAGTTTCTTAAACTCCAATGATGATTATTTTATTTATTAATATAGTTTTTGACATATTTATCAAAATGCTCAAGAATTTCTATTAATAAACTATTTTTTAAAATTAGTTTTAGGCCTAAGTTTATAGTAACAATTTTGAAGTATATAACCATAAAAAGTTTTGGTTTAACTTATTTCGTAAACAAGCTGTGTTTAAACAGTTTTTGTGTTAAAAATTTGGTAACACTATTGAAAAATATAATTTGTTTTTAAACTGAATTATCATAAGTATAGATGATAACATATTTCGTGTTGATTTAAATGTTTTTCTCAACCAAACCACACATCGGGAATTTATTAAAATAAGAGTTTAGCAAATGTTTTTTGAAAACAATGAAGTCGAAATATCTCAGTAATGACTTTTATACAAATAACTTAATATAAAAACAATATAATAAATGTGTATAATAAAACTAAAAGAATGATTTCATGTCAGTTTTCATTTTCTTATAGAAATCTTATCCTAATAGAATGAAGTGAATATATTGTTGCAAAAACTTACTCCAACTTTTGTATTATTCATGATTTATGATAAACTATCATGAATATAGCCAGGGCCCAATCCCAGCCCCAATCCAACATACAAAAAAATAATAAAATAGCAAATGATAAAAACATACTTTACATAAAGAAACTAATTTCAAAAAAGAACACTCTACATTAAAGAAATTAGAACATTGTATCCCATTTTTGTTATAAGCTGGATAAGTGATCCTAAAACTGTAGTGATAAAATTCAGTAAAAAATTATAACAATTTTAAAATGGAGTGCCCCCCCCCATTTTCGCAAAAATAAAGACCTTGATCTTTAAGAGTTCACTTCTTAAGAATAATTTAAATCAGCAATGGATCCTTGACTGCTAATAGTTTCAGAAAGACAAAACTTGCCTGTCATAACAAAATAAACATTATTTTAAAGATAACAACATAATAAATCCTTAAACAAGTTTGGATCTATGCCTTATAAATATATGCAATGGCTAAAAAGGTACTTTTGGAAATTAGTATTTTTCAGTCAAAAACTCTTAAGACAATCACACAGGTACATTAGTATTAGAACTATTACACAACATAAAGACTTGCCAATAAACATTAAATAAGCCTGACAAAGGTTGAAAAGAAGACAATTAATGCTTAGAGAAAAAATAATCATAAATACTAATCGATACCATAGCGATATTTTCATTATTTTTCTCACAGGATCATCTGATTGTATTTCATATCTTATTCACAGCTTTTTGGTCTATTTAGGTAGTTTTTAATTTTAACAAAAAAAAAAAAAAACATATAATTTTAAATTCATTTTCTCACAAAAAAAAAATTATAACACTTTATCAAAAAGTTTTGTGACCATGCAAGGCAATCTTGTTTTTTCATTCTTATCTTATGTCTCTGCCATCAAACATAATTTACAGTACACATTAAATTTATGTTACATAATCTGTAATAATTTAAAGGCTCATCGAAAAGAAATTTTGACTAACACTAGATAGAAAAGTCCATTAAAAATTTAACTCGCAATGGATTATTTAAAGTACCTTACCTGAAAAAAATTAGCTATCCAACTTACTCAATGGGAACAGTTAATATAGCATATCTGCTAAGAGATCCACTACAATTTACTCTGCTTGCAAATTTCTTGAAGAACGAACAAAGTCTAACATCTAGGGAGTGAATGTTTTAACACATGCTAATAGTTTTCATTTATGTATACCGTAAGTTTATGAACAGCTAGCTAAACTATAGATGATTTTCAAGAAAAGTTCTGAAGCTCTTGTGAGCAATCCAGTTCTAAGGGGTAATTTAAAAGTCAAACTTGTTAGGTTTTAATAATTGTGAGTAATAAGCCACTCATGATATGTAAGATCATGGGATTCCAAACTAGTAGTTCACTTGAACATTCCAGGTTGTACCAGAAACAGCAAAAAAAAAATAGTCATGAATAAAAATATCTTTTTAATAAATTAAATGAGGTGTACAATTTTTTTTTTTTAAATAATTCTTATGCAACATATATAAAATGAATGAAGTTCATCTAATAATAAACAATGCTTACAGTAGTAAATAAGATACTTACTACGTATAAGAGGACGTAGAAATCAAGTTCAGCTCCATTATGCTAACAATTGGTACTTTGAAAGCATATTTATCTGAAAAATATTGATACAGTGCAATCCCACAATTTCTTACTTCTATTGGATAAACTTTTATTTTGAAATATTTCTTGGCTTCTTTTGTTTTATTTCTGTTGTGATTTGAGATTAATAACTTGATATTAGAGGTGTAACTTAGTCTTATGCTAATTGTATGACACCAATTTCATGATGTATTTATTTGGTTAGAATTTTAGCTCTTGGCTTCAAAATATTGATTGATTAATGATTTGTGAATAAAGACATTATATAGAAGTTGTTTTTTCACTGATGAATATTTCTATTTCACTTATCTGTTTTGAATGTTGAAACTTTCAACTGCAGGAAAAAAATTGATTTCCTAGAAAATAATTTTATTGTTGTACTTTTAACCCTTAAGATGGCAAAAAAAAAAAATTAGAGAGATATTATTTTAATATTTATTCATTTGTTTTCCAGTTCGGTTCCGTTATTTTGTCGGCGAGTCTACAGAGAAACAATGCCAAGTTAAGGATTAATATTAGATAAGTCAAAATACTAAAACACAAGTCGTGGTCAAGCTACATTTGATAATTTAACAATATTTCATAGGATGGTGACAGAAATGTTTAGTTCCTTTTAGTTTTTAAAATTTTAAATACACACCAAAAATTGTTAATAAGTTATAAATTTTATGTGAGTAGATTTCATTGCATAAAATCAATCAGAAGTCAAATGTACAGATTGTTATTACTGAAAATATATTAAAATTGGAGCAGTGGATCCCACATATTTAGTACCATCTGTATTACAATAGATAGTGACAGTAATAGTTCACTAAGAGAACCACAACTTTCGCTATTTACTGAAAAACAATGGTAATAGATCTGAAATACCATATGTGTTACTTCAGATAGCGCTGAAATCGGAGAGTGAACTAATAAGGTGAACTGGACTAAAGAGACTAGTTCCTTAAAAAGAACGGTTTTGGATATCACTAATCCATTTGCACAATTAAAATGTAATAAATTAGAGTTGATAATTGCATTAAAAATGTCATTGACATTTATATTAAACAGTCCCTATGAAATTTAAAAACCACTTAGAAAAATAATTTCTTTGGCAGGAGAAATGAATTCCAACACTTATCTTAAAATTCAATGCTCTCCTCCTTCTAAATGCCTTAAACTTTTCATCTATTGTCACATCTCCTGAGTTCCATACAACATATAACAATTTAAAGGCTCATTTAGGAAAAATTCCAACTTTTCACTGAATAATTTCTGTTGGAACTTTATTAAACTCATAAACTCACTTCATTATTTAATATACCTAACAATCTAACTTCCCCAATAGGAACAGATATAATCGCGTAACTTCTTTACGTGACTCTATAGGAAAACCAACATTCTCTGCCCTCTTAACAAATCACCTCCAGTATAAATAAAGCCATAGAAGTTTTAGTATTACCAGGACAGGCTACTAAACTAAAACAATATAATAGATTATAACTAGAAAAAAAAATTAAACATTAAAATGCATGAGTTTTAACTATGAGCCAAAACAAGCAAAAAAAAAGCATTAAAAGTTTTCACTTTTCAGTCAAATAACATAAAATCTTTCAGTTTGTGAATTGTTTTTGTCTGGAGTTTTTATTTCTTCACAAATTATCATCGATTACAGATATAACATTTCGACTTTACATTCCAAACAATATTTATATTAAAAATCTATATCATAAAATACAAAACCATTAAAGCAATATTCCAAATAAATAAATAATTATACAGAACAAGGTGTAAGGTTACAAGAGATTTAAATACAAAATACACACAACACATACAGAGAAATATAATTAGATATGTCACTAAGTTTTTTTGTTTTTTTTTTATTTTAGTTTACTGCAATAATACCCGTCATTAATTTAAATGGAATCAAGGCAGTTTATACACTTCATATATATATATATGTAAACAAACACATTTACTTTTATATATTTGAGGTATGTATCACATTTTTTTTCTTTCTATAAAGTGCAAAAAAATAATGCCCCTCCTCATATAGTTATGAATATCTGCTTTTTTTTTTTGTTAAGTTTTTTTTCTTGGAAAACATAAATGCCAAATGCATTAATAGATATAATTTCATTATTATTTTCCTATGAAAATTTTCATAAATTTTTTTTGTCAAATTTTTTTGGAAGCCATCAGGGTTGCCTAATGTCTAACTATTAAAGCACTTGATTAATTTATTTTATATTAATTACATAAAAAAGTTGTTCACAAAACATTATTACAGAAAGATCACTCAACTAAAGATACTGCCTAACCTTCTATAAATGACTAAACAAAGTAAGTACGACATACTTTGTACAGAATTGACAGTAATAAATTATAATTAAAAGAAAGCCATTTACGAGAAATAGAACAATTTTAAAAAAGGAAGAAGAGTATATCATAGGCGTATGGTGACTTTTTTTCTATTTTTTTTTTAATCAATATATATATATATATAAGTATATATACAATTTACCCCCCTAAGATTTTACCATCTTATAAAAGAGTTACTTTTAAAATACTTTTTTTAATTCATGAAATATCTCTTCTGATATTAAGATCTTTGTAATTTAGTATTTAAATCACAAATATTACATCTACTTAATCATACTTTTAAGTATATATTTAAACATTTAAATAATCATAAGAATATAATATTTAATTATTTATTTACAAATCCTCCACATTTACAACTTAATATTCTATAAATTAGTTATGTATAAAAACAGTTGACTATACATGGATAATAAAGCCTTTTCTCTAAAATAAATTATAAAAAGCAAAATTCGGAATTTAAAAAAAACATAATTTAAAGAAGTAATTATTCTTTAGTAAACATTTTTTAGTGAATATATATAAAACCATATTTACAATTTTAAATAAAACATTATCTTAACTAATATGAAGATATTATTATTGACTGCACTTAAAATTATAAATTGTTCCTAATTATCACAATAAAATAAAATAAAAATGCTAAAACAAGAGAAAAATTAAAACCTAAATCCTTAAGTGATAAGAGAGATACATGGTTGCGAATTTGAAATTTAAAAATAGCAACCCTAAGCTATAATATAAAGGAGTGAAGACGAAGAGACTCTTAGAGCTTGTCCTGCAAACCAGTTCTTTGGTGTTCTATACTTCACAGGGATCGTTACACTGTTAATTTCAATCTATTGAATGAATGCTTCTTTGTGCTAAAAGAATTAACACAGTACTTTATTAGATACTAAAGAAACATTAAGGAATGTACCAGGAATCACCTAAAATGCTTATAGAGATAGCAATAATATTACATGAGGGAAAATAATAATTTTTAAATTATAGGTTTCATATTATGATTTATAAAGAACATCAAAATAATTTTATAAGGTAGGAATAATACCTGGTTTCCTGCAAGAAGAATAAAAGTACATTTTTATGAAAGAAGGCTCAGCATGTCTTTTGAAAAATCTCAATGGCAGGATTGTGGTATACCTAAGTTAATGGAAAAGAATAACTTGGGAGGACATTATTAAGTAGTGAAATCAGTGGTGAGTAACTATTTAGAAAGGTTCTACTTTCAGAAATACTTCCTTACTGTTTATTCACAATTGGGAATTAAATGCATTCCTCCTTCTTGGCTAATATATGGAACAATATCACACAATAGGTGTTTTTGTACCAAGTATCATAACTTGAGAACATTAACATTAATGCCCCTGTTGTAGTGTACAGGAAACTGCTGAGCACGTTGTCGTAACTTGCACTGCTTTTGAGACAATAAGGTCCAACCAAGTCCCTCAAACTACTGACGGAAACCTAAGTTAGCTAATATGAATAACTATCAATACAAGGAAGCTTCTGTCCACAGGTGGAAAGAAGTAGTGGGACCAACCATTTTAATTTTCTTTGAGGTAAAAAAAAAAATATATTAATGAATAAAGAAGTAATAAAATAAAATAACGAAGAGTAACAGTTGGTAGACATTACTTCTGCCAAAATATGTATTATCGAGAGACAAGATAGGAGGAATATAAATAAATAAATATATGTTGAATACCAGATAGGGGGTGAAGACAGGTCACCTTCGTCTGGTGCACCCTGCTAACAGTATTATACTGGCTAAACAATCTGTCAATGTGGTATCCTGAATGGGTCATGCCATCTGAACGTCACAGGAAGTAGGAGTGAAATATCCTGTTTAGAACTCTGAAGCCACAAGGTAGGTGTAGCTTCCTGAATGAGGCAGTCCCTCCACTGCAATAGGGGGATTGTGGGCTAATCCCTCACATCCCCGAATGAAAATTATTAAAAGAAACACAAGGAAGAAAACCGGATTGTCTTTCAAGGCTATGAGCTGGCGAGGACACGGAACAATAAAATATGTTACATGGAACGTAAGGGGTCCAGCTGGGAAGGAGATGGAGCTGGTGGAAGAAATGGAGGGAACCTCATCGAAGATAATGGTGATCACCGAAACAAAGATAAAGGGAACAGGCTGCATAGACGTTGGTAATGGGTTTGTGCTAATTTACTCTGGAATAGTAACGAGAGATCTAAAGCAGGAGTAGCATTTCTTATTCATAGGGACTTCGCAAGGAATATTGTGGGCTGGAGGAGTATTAATGAAAGGATATTGATTTGAATTGAAGGATATTCATTGCTGAGTGTCCCAGGTAAAATATACTGATGTATCTTAGAAAGAAGATTGAGGAACGAGGTAGAACAACAACTGGACGAGGAGCAAAGTGGCTTCCACCAGGCAAGAGTACTCAAGATCACATCTTTGCGCTACGTCAAATATGGGAGAAATTCATCGAGTACAATATAGAGGTTTACCTCTGTTTTATAGACTTAGAGAAGGCATTCGACAGAATACCTTGGAATGAGTTATGGGCTTCACTCCAGAATAAACAATTGTCCGAGGCTCTTATACAGAGAATTAAATCATTCTATAAGACCTGCAGAAACTATGTTAGAACGTCCCATCAACAATCTGTTGACAAGAATTTGTCACTAGAATAGGAGTCAGACAGGGAGACATAGGGAGCCCTCTATATTTCATCACCGTCATGGAGGATGTTATTAAGGAATGTGAGAGGAAAACCAAGGAGACACAACTTGTATATTGGAAATTGCAACCAGTCAACTGTTCATCGTTTGCATTTGCTGATGACGTGCTAATAGCTGACAGTAAAGAAACGATACAGGTAAATTTAGATGTCTGGACAGAAGAGTTAGAAAAAGAAATATGGTCATTGGGACTTCCAAGACCAAGTGTATGCTGGTCTCCTTAAACAAGAAGAATTTTGGAATTCGTATTCATGAGGAGATGAAACAGCAGGTTCCTACATTCAAGTATTTGGATGTGATGATCAGTGAGAGGGGAAAGATCAGAGACAAAATTAATACAAGAGTTGCCACTTCAGGAAGGATGTTCTCTGTCATGAATAGAAAGTTTTTAAGTAAGAGAGAAGTGGCAAAAGAAACAAAATTAGCCATCTATATCGCTCAACTCTGGAAGCAAATCCTGGCCTCTGAAGCAACGTGATCGCAGCCGCCTCCAAAGCATGGAAATGAGGTATCCGAGGAAAATAGAGGGAAAGACCAAGAGAGACCAGAGACGTAACACAACGATACGGACTACAATAAAAGGCAGCTTTGATGGTTCGGTCATTAATGAGGATGGATGACCATCAATTCAGCAAAAAAAAATTATGGAGGCTAAACCAGTGGGAAAACGACCTAGAGGAAGACCAAGAATTACTTGAGGAGATAATCTGAAGAATATTCTTAAAGATAGAGAATTGGATGGCCGGAAGACAGGAGAGCAGCCCTCGACAGAGACAGATGGAAATCCTAGTACAAAAATCTCTACACCGAAAGGTAGAAGAGATTATTGAATAAGAAGAATACCAGATATGTTAAGACCCAAATGGCTAATGTAAGTAATTTTAGAAGAAAAAGGATCAGAAGCTATAGTTCAGCTTATGACAAAAAAGAGTAGATGCGAAGAACAGGATAAGCCAAACAAAACCCACTTGATGGAATGCCAACTAATGGCCATGAAAAAAAAACAAAAAAAAAAACGATTGGTATAGGAAGGCTGAATTGCATGATAATAGGGCAAGTGAAAAAATAACAAGAAGTTTGATACAATATCATTTAAGTAATAGAAAACTTTTGATTACATGATAAAAATCATTCATTAATCTTATGAATAAAAATTATGAACTAATAATCTATATTTTAATGAAAAAAAAAAGAAAAAGATTTTAGCAATAGAAGACTTGAAAATAAGATAACAAATTTTCAAAAAACAAGAGAAATGTGTAGTTTATTTTTAAAATTAAAATAGTCTTGGAATGTATGATTGATTAATGTAAAGTCACAATTATAAAAACAGCTCCATTATTTTAAGTGATATAAGAACAGAGAATAACTAAAATATAGATGTCAATAATGCATAATGATGTTTAAGAGGAAAATAATATATAATTGATAATTGACCAATCATTAAATATTAATTATATAATTATTTATAAATTAATCATATAATTAACATTGTTGCTGGAATATTATGATAAGAGACAATACTCATTGAAAGTACAAATTAATATTTGTAAAAGGTTAGACCATTACCTCAATGCATCATAACTAGAAACTGCATCTTCATGCAGTAAAAATCTGAAAATCATGCAGCATAAAATTCAGAAATGTGCAAAATCGAGCAGTAGAAATCCAAAATACATAAAATTATGTAATTAACACCTAAAAACATGCAAAAATCATCTATTTTGTTTAATTTATTATATTAATATCTTGAAATCTGATCAAACCTTGTGTTGAACTTCAGAATTAAAATAATGTTTAATGAGAAAAAAATTAAATTATTAAAATTTAAATTTAAATGCAACATTGAAAATGAAATTCGTAAGGATTTTTAGAAAACTTTAGAAATGCACTGTAACACTTAAGATTTTCAAACATTAAAATATTAGTGTTGGCGCAGTTTTTCTAGATTACAAAAAAAATGTTTTTGGGAAACATTCATTTGTTTAATAGAAATATTTTTTCATACTAGTTCTATAATGAACATATGTCTAGCTGTGATTTTTTATCACATCCGATTGATTTTCCACAGATTACAGAAGACAACTTTCCCATCAAATTTCAAAACCGAGTAATTTGATATCCAGATTCTAATTTTTAATGAGAGACTAGATCCTACTTTCAACATTATTCAATTTTTTTAATAATGAAATTAGTACAATTAACTTCAAAACCCGAAGGAATACTGAATACTGAAGAAAAATGCAAGTTCAAATCTGAACAATAAGAGTAAATATCTTCTTGACAAAACAGCTTATTCTGGGAAGGCACTTCTTTATTATTATCCGATACTTCAGACAAGTTCTATTCTAAGAATATTCTCCACTTGTGTTTATTTCTTCTTTTTGTAACGTGAAATTCAAACCGTTGCAAGTAACAATATTATTTACCTTCCTCATATTTTTCTATAAAATTATAATTTTGATATGGAAAAGATAGTAAAATGAAGAGATAAATATTTAAAGCCACATAGATATCTAATCTAGCTCCTAAAGTAAAAAAGCGTGTTATTTGATGCAACAAAAATCAATATCATATAATTGAGGCCAATTTGAACAGCAAAACATGCAACATCAAATTTCAATATATTTTCAACAAATTTTGAAACACATAGATAATCAGGTTTGAGTCATCTACATGCAAGCGAAAAAATTGTGCAATAACATGAAAATCCGGTTTCTAATCATAACCAACAATCTGAATAAAAATGTTGATGAAAAACTGAATACAGCAAAATAATGAAATTATTTCTGTTTTATTTACTGACTAATCATTATCTACAAGATTCATAATATACAATTACAATATGATATGAAGTAATCAAGAACAACATACAAATACAGTAGTACTAATTAAATCTGTTAAGTCAATATGTATTAAGATAGTTACTCACCGAAGAATCTACCGAAAGTAGTCAGTTCAGGGTCTGGCACCCCTTGCAGCATCTTCAAGAGCTCTCACTTTTAATTCCCTCTCCCTTTGTCTGTGGACATCAATCAAACTATCTCTAGACACAATCTCTACCAAGCCTGCGACACCTCAGAAAGGCGGCAGCCTAGAAATATCATTTTATTCAAAACTCTATACACTAGTACTCATCGACATGGCTATTGTTAATTCCATCTTCTCTTCTCTGTTAGATATTTTGTATGATATATTTTTTTGTGTTTCAAAATTTAAAGAAAATTGACTAGGTGTATAAACAGCAAATTATATAACATGTATTCTATATCTGTAATGATTAAAATAAATAACTTACTTTTCAAACTTTTTTGTAATGTAAAAGAAAAAAAATCTGTTAAAGATGACCCTATGGAAAACGATAAGAAATCTGGACGTCCGAATACGAGCAATGAACAGGTAAATAAATCAGAACCGAGAAATTCAAGATCTTGGAGGAAATCATCATTACCACAAAATAAGACATCGTCAGAAGAAAGACAATCGGATCTACCTCCTATCAAAGAGGAGAGAAAAGATGAATATGATCACGAACTTTACCATACAAACTCTTGGGTCTTCAAGCTGATATCACGCCAGGTTTTCCCCCTTAATTATTTTTTATAATTAAGAGTACCCACTTTATAGAGGTTGGGTGTGCTCCAGGAGGGTCTCCCGATTCCAGGGTCGATCCACGGCTGATGAAAAATTACTAGTCAAAAGCCTGACTCGAACCCAGGACCTTGAGCTCTAGAAGTCAGTGCTCACCCACTGAGCTACCCCGCTACTTATAATATATATTAAATAAATATATAAATCAGTTTAATCTCATATTTTTCCTAAGAATCAATCAAATCCTTTTGTTACATAGTCTATATCAATTCCATAAGAACCAGTAACGATAGCAAAATTAATATGACAATCCTGGATAGAAATATCATTTTATTCAAAACTCTATACACTAGTACTCATCAACATGGCTATTGTTAATTCCATCTTCTCTTCTCTGTTAGATACTTTGTATAATATATTTTTTTGTTTCAAAATTTAAAGAAAATCAACTAGGTGTATAAACAGCACATTATATAACATGTATTCTATATTTGTAATGATTAAAATAAATAACTTACTTTTCAAACTTTTTTGTAATGTAAAAGAAAAAAAATCTGTTAAAGATGACCCTATGGAAAACGATAAGAAATCTGGACGTCCTTAATTCTTATAATAAATTAAATAATTTGCGAAATGTGTTAAAATAAGGTATGATGGAAGTATAAACCTTTTCAACCTCAATCCTTGAATGAAGTGTATAAAGTATAATAGTTTTAAAAAGTCTTTTATGTAAAAAAAAAAAAAAAAAACTTATTACACAATGTTAAGTGAAATAGTTGAACACAAATATTGATTTTTCTTACACATTATAGAATAATTTAATACAATAAATTAATTATGAAACTATAATATAAGAAGATAAAATTTAAAAAATGGAGGGAGAAATATGAGTTAATTAAAATATTAGAACCATGGCATGAATTCATGTAATTAAAATTTTTTAAAGAGAAAATGAAATTTTTGAAGAGGTATAACAAGAAACATTACTTAAAGATTGGAAAGTGTTCTCCACGCACCCACACACACATACACACCTAATAAGGCATCTCTCTAAATATTCCAATAATAAGCCAACGATAAGCACTAGGCTAGAGTACTATCTTTAGAAGGTACAGGAAACTGGTTAATCATTAATTTATACTAGAATTATTACAACACTACATAACTTCCTACTAAAAGCTCCTTGGTCTATAAAACAAGTGTTCTTGTTAATGGGAACATAAAAAAAAATATTAATTCTTGCATAGGTAAGAAGAAATTTTGTAATGGAACTACTATTTAAATTAAAGAAAGAAAAACAAATCTTTGAGTAATGTAACTTTTATGAATTACTCCTATCTGTTTCTAACTATTCTCGATTAAATTAATTTTCTTCATTCTTATATTCTTTCCATTTAACTAAACTTCAATTACCTACTCTACTGGCTATTGATCTACATACTATAATTTTAAAGTTTTTTAACCTCTTTACACTTTACACCAAAATAAAAAATAATAATAAATAAACAACAAAACATAAATTCTTTTCTAAATTTTAACTATAAATTAATTTAAAAATGTAAAATAATAGGATTAAATCTGTAGTTGGCCAATTCATTAAATGAGCTCAGGACTCAATATAGCCTAATAATCAAAAATAAAATTTCAGATAAATTAATTCCTTTAAACTAATCCTCAAGCACAAAAATAAAAAGGGAGAAGCGGAGGATAGGGGGAGAAATATTTATAAGAGGAAAAATAACATACCTTAAGAACTCTTCATGCTGCGCAGCAAAAGGGTGAGGATATCTTTCTCTTTCCATTAGCATTTGTCGCTGCAAATGTTCATGAGCAGCAGCCTTTCAAACAAACAAAGAATAATTGTTGCAAAGATCATACAGTTTTAACACTACCTAACTCCGTTCCTGATAAAACATGAGTTAGATACATAACTTGATTTATTTTTCCATGCTCAATTAAATGGCAACGATTCCAAAGGACAATAGAATTGCTGGAAATTGAAGAAAAAAACCCAATGCCAGCAGATATGGACAGTGACAGTATAAAGTATCTATTTTGTGGGGATGATACAGGAAATTTTAAGTCTTCAAATAGTAATTATAAAAAAAAGTTTGATGCCACTCGAGTGCTGATTGATGTTTAAAACGCTTTTAAAATGCGTTGGTAATAAATGTTGTGACATAAAATGTCAGTGGTTAGAGAAAAAAATGATACTTCTCAAAAGGTACATCTTTTAACTCAAACTCAATTCATATACAAAATTTTCACTCCCTAAACTTATTTATTATTATTAATTTATTAGTGGTCTGAGATGTGTAAAATTTTAAAAATCAGAATCAATACCAAAAACTGTTGAGATATATCAAAATATTGATGTAATATATCTAATATATTATGTTACTGTTTTGCGAAGAAAGTAATCTTACATGCAGAATTTCAGCATATTTGACCCAAAGAAGGGGTGATATGTAACACAATCTAATTCAAAATTTGGTATACCAACTGAGTTTATTTTGAAAAATATTTTGTTTATTTAAATAATTGCATGAAAAATATTTTTTTCAAGTTGTTTGAGGTAAAAATCTATATAAATAAAATAAAGATTTTGTCTGTACGTTGAATAGAATCAACCCGTTTTATGGTATCTTTCTATTTCATACATTGCAAACACCAAATCCACTTTAAAATAATTTTTTGTCTGTCTGTTTGTCCGCATTGCAACGAACTTTTGTCAGGATTAAGATAAGCAATGGCTTATTATAGAATTTTGAAATTTTAACATTATATTAAGGTTTGCTTGACTTAAAACATAGGCTTTAAATGAAAACAAAATATTGAGTATAACCAAAGTTATGAATTCTTAAGTAATTTGACTGGAGATTTCGTTAATGCTGATAATAAAGGTTAATAATAAGCATATGTTTATAGGTTAAAGAACATCAATATAAATAAAATAAAGCCTTCATCTGTAAATTGAATAGAATCAATCCGTTTCATATCTTTCTGTTTTATACATTAAAGACACCAAATCCACTTTTTAAAAAATGTTTTGTCTGTCTGGGTGTCCACATTGTCCAACAAAATTTTGTCAGGAGTAAACTCGGCAATAGTTAATGGTAGACTTTTGAAATTTTGAGAGTACATTGATGGAAAAAATTATCACAACTCAACGGGAAAAGTCCGGAATACCTAACACCTGTAACACCTTGTCGCATGAAATGGGTAAAAACACTCATTTTTCAACTTTTTCCGATCTTCCCGCTTAAGGCGTCATTCAATTCAAATTTCCGAGCCTAACAAATATTGTTGTATACATTTTTAGAATTAACCAAACAGATTAGCCGGAAATCAGTAGAAAAAAATCTAAAAATTTCACTCCGCCCGCCACAATATTCAGATCAAGTTCTAATTTTACACGGATGTAGGTGACTCAATGTCCAATGTTACTTTGGTTATTTTGCCAGCGATAAACTGAGGAGAGTTTAAAGAAGTGGAGAGACTACAACTCTTTTTGATTAATTAATCAACTCCAAAATTTCCTCGCTTCATCATAAATGAAAATTAAACACCTAACAAATTTTAATGGATCGGTGATGGTCGGTTTAGTTTTGTGGTACCTAAACAAATAGCCGAATAACAAAGTTTTTGTTATGACTATTGCGAAATCTCGACTTCCATAAGCCCCGCCATAAAAAATTTCATAACAACCCCCTCTCCCCTCCCGACCTAATTTTATGAAATTGAATTTGGACCCTCCTCTCCCCATAATAAAACATCCATCTCAAAAATAGATTCTCAAATTTTAACTATACACCCATCAAAGAGGGGTACATCAGCTAGTTTGCTATAAATTATGAGCAGAAAGTCATGACTAACGAAGATAGACGGTATTTTGCACCCTCTACGATGTTGGAAAAATTGAGTTAGACAGAGCTAGAACTTGTATGATGGTATACCTCTCATTATAATAAAAGAAATTATAAAACTTTAAATTACATATAACACATATATTTAAAAAATAAATAAATATATGATTGATAAGCTGAATAAAATATATATTCATTTTCTTTTTCACCAGCATTATGTCAACAGAAATACTTTCTGTTTCCTTTTTATAGGCACAAGTGATGACCAACAAAGAGGTTGGAATGGTAAAATAAAATAATAAAAAAAACATAACAAAATGAATGTTTCATTAACTTTGCACATAGAAATTAATGATAATCATAATATTGATTTGTAGAAATTAATACAACAAAAAAATTCTTTAAAATTAGAAAAAATAAGGAAAATGTACCTGATGAGCCAACTGGTCAGCATAAGGCCGCGATAAGAGATCTGAAGGATGATGAAGCCCAAGGGCCTCCCTAGGAGGCAACAAACTAGGGCGAGGATAAGCACCAGTTGTACCTAAACAGTTTATCACTGATATTATAATAAACAACCGCATGTATGAGTTTTTATAAATGCATATAAAAACTCATACATGTCAATTATTGAGTTATAATAATAACATAAATATATGATATATAAAAAGCACTTTTTGGATTAACACCATAGCTATACTGTCTAATTTCTGCAAGTTAGCAGGTTTTCTGAAAATCCTATTCTCATCCTCACTTCATAATTTTAAAAAATATTGGCAATAAATAAGACTTGATCAAGGCTATTCATGGTTAAATAAATGAATATATTGTTTAATAAACTAATATATACAAAACGTGGCCGATGATGGTTTCTTGAAAACTTATTTGACTTAATACTCGAGTTATGCTGTTCATAGTCATTAATTGTGGCAAAGGTTTTAGCCGTCCTTTTGGTTGAAATAAATTATTATATTTTCTAAAGCTATAATAATCTTCAGACATGAAGCTAATTTTTTATCAACTATTTCTTCTACACAAATCTTCTTCCATTAACTTCAACATTTTTCTAATTTAATGATGGATCCTAACTCCCTAAAATTTAATTTACCTGGTATGGAGAAGGGCGAGGGCGGACCTGGAGGCTGCTGGGGAGTTGAGGATGCAGATGGCTGCGGTTGAGTCGGAGGTTGAGCCTGCCCTGGATGGAGGTGGAGGTGGGTGTGGGCATGGGTGTGAGCATGTGTGTGCGCATGGTATTCAGGGGATATCCCCGCCATCTGCAGTCTCACCATAGGATCTGTCGCCAGAGCCAGCCTCTCCTCAGCGCTGCTACCAGATCCAACACCTGCCCCTCCACTTCCACTACTGCTACCTCCGCCACCAGCCCCCGTCATTGTCGCTAGAATTCATTGAATGAATGCAATGAATAAAAATATAAACAATTTCACAGCCTGAAAACATTTTTCCAATTTCTTTTTTTTTATTTCTAGATGAAAATTAATAGAACGCTATCTAGTGTAAATTTGAAAAAGGAAGTCCAGCAATGATTCAGTTAGTATCAGTATGATTGGGAAATGTTGCATATATCTATGATGAAAAATACAAATTAAAATCTTGAAAATGCCCTGGTGATAGGAGAACGATGAAAAACAACACTATTGGGTAAGTAAAGATTAATTTTAAGAAAACTAATATTTTTTGATAAAACAATTTAAATTATACATGAAAAAAAAAGTGAAAGATACTTGAAACAGTAAGTAACAGATAATGTTCTGATATATACTATATTTTCCTCTCGTTTGTTTCTCAAAACTTAAAATGTTTACCCATCTCAACTAGATTGATCACCAGCTATAAAATTGCACTGAGCTGAAAGATTATTTTGCTTAATCTCTGGCTTCTAGTCTCTTGGCCACTAGTGTCATTCACAGTCATATATAAAGATGGTTTGATAGATTATTTCAATGCACATACATTACATCATAAGCCTTTGTTGCAAATAAATTAACATAATTTCTTTAAGAAATTAATGATTTTTTATCTCTGAAACTTCAATTTCCTTTACAGTTAGAAAAAGGTTGCGAGTATGTACTGAGTTTTTTTTTTTTTCTTTTTTCAGATCTCTTTATCCTGGATTCAGTCTAAAACCACCATATTAACATCTTAGCAGGTTTTACATTGTTATAATTAGATGAGCTTGTTTCTTGAGATTTCCTTGATTCCAGAAATAACAAATCATTACTTTTGTAAAGTACTGACTTAAATAAAACAAGACGTACAAAAGTAAAAATTTTTAATGCGAGGATTGGTAATTTTACCATTGCTGTCAATATAAGAAATTCTTTTTACATATCTAATGAAGGAGGATGATAAAAGATAAAGGGTTCGCCGCATGGTTAACCTAAAACTTTATGTCACCACCATAAATTGTCATAGCAATAATTTAGATGACATTTTATGTGTATATTATTATTATTACTCAATAAATAAATGTTTTTAAATACCTAGCCTTTCTAAGCGATCCCTCTCTAAATGAGAAAGTGGTGGGGGTTGACCAGGCGCTCCAGGTGAAGGATATAACCCAAACTGGTGAAGAGGGCCTCCTGGACCAGCCCATCTGAAAAAAAAATTAAATGAAAGAGCCACAAAGTGCCTTTTAAAAATAATTTTTAAAATTGTGATAAATTAATAACATATTCAGTTATAATTTTTTTAAATATTAAGAAAAATTCTTTTTTTTATTTCAATGACTAAAAATTGATTTGTGATCCTTTAATGAATAGCTAGCTAGCCTAGCTATCCTGCAACAACTAGGTTCAAATTAAAAAAAAATTCTAGAACAGAAACTACCACTTTAAACACACCCTAGAATCAATCGAACATAGGAAAGTAAAAAGAAAACATTCATTAGGTTTAAAACATGGGTTTGGGACTTGTCAATCATAGTTTTCATAAAATATTTTTTTTAAATATGAAAAGCTGATTCTGTATTTTATTATTTGCAAGAGGAAATTGTGAAACTCGATTAGACTCTCATAAGAGAAGCAGAGCAAATCAGCCTACAAGTAAATAATGATAAAACAAAATATATGATAGTAATCCGAAAATAACAGGGAAATCAAACCCAAGAGTAGCCACCTCGGCTCCACAATAACCTCAATGACCAAAGGTCGAAAATAGACCAGCGTAGAACAAGCGTGAACAGAGTTTTCTTCTCTCTTTCAAAAGCATTGAAATCCCAAAAATCTCAAGAAATCCTAAATTATGAGTGTACATGTACAATGCTAAGATAAAGCTAGTTCTAATTTAAGGCTGTGAGACCTCGACACTAATCAGCACCCTAGAAAGATGTATTGAAAGATTTGAGAGAAATAATACCTGCAACAACTGGAGAGGCTACTTGCAAAAACTGGTCAATCAATATCACATGATATGAAGGCAAGGAGGTTAAAATGGGTGGGGCATGTAGCTCAGAGCAATCCATCTGGAAGCCTCTAAACAACAATGAATGGCTTTATAATAGGCAAAAGACCACGCGGAAGGCTAACAACCAGATGGACAGGTCAAATCAACAAATAAACAACAGAGATGCATGTACATAACTGTAAAAAAATAGGCAGAGATGGAGAAGGCTGATTTAGACGACAAAAGATCTATGAAGTCTGTAATACAGATTTATGTGGAATTTGTATTTGTGCCAATGTTTCAATCATCTTTACAGCTTTGCATCAGGGCTAAATAAATAAGATATAAAATTAATGTTAAAAATTAAGATACATAAATACTGTAGAAGATAAAAATTACATAAATAAAATTAAATATTTATAAACAGATCAATTACTGAACAGAGGTAAAACATTAAGAATTAATAATCAAATACAGAGTAAATATTTCAATCAGTTTATCATTCATTCGTGTATTATTCATAACTGTTGGTATTTCAGCTTCTTTATTATGTTCTTTAATCCACTTTGTTCTTAATTATTTCATTTCTTAAAAGTTATTTTAATCACAATAGGGTTGTACTTTCCTCGCGCGGGCTCATTACCGCGTATGGGGAGCGTCCCACGGGTGGCGGATGTGGGGATGGTCGGTGGAAATTCCTTGGAAGTTCCTCCCGGCTAAGTCCGATGGACTCGCTGACCAACAATGAGAGGGGCCCTCCAGACTTGCTGGAGGGAGGGGACCTCCAGACTTGCTGGAGGTAGGGGCCCACCAGACTTGCTGGAGGGTGTGACGTAGGATTGAACGCCCTACTCACATATCTTTAGTTCACCAAACACCACAAAAGTCATGGATCTCCCTAAGGTAAAACGCTCATTATCCGGAGGTAAACTAGTCCCCCGTTCGGGTCTCCGGGTGGGGACTGCTTTAGGGGATTCATGGAGCAAGTTGAAATATAGGGATTTAAATATTGGTACGTGGAACGTAAGGAGTTTAAACACAGCAGGGGGCTAAAATCGGTCGCGAATGAGATAAATGGGTACAATTTGGATGTCGTGGCTCTGCAAGAGGTTCGCTGGCCAGGGGAGGGCTCGATGAGGGAAGGAAAGTACACTATTTGGTACGGAGGAAGCGGGAATCATTGTTTGGGTACCGGGTTTCTAATTAGGAGTAGATTACTATCCGCTTTGAGGGACGTACAATTCTTTAGTGATAGAATTTCGGTAGCTACATTTCAGGGACGTTGGTTTAAAATCGCATTAATAAACATACATTGTCCGACCGAAGACAGTGACGATGAAGTCAAAAGTGAATTTTACGATAAACTCGAATGGGTTTATGATAAACTACCGCGAAACTACATGAAAATAATTGTAGGTGACGCGAACGCAAAGGTAGGAAGGGAAGAAGTTTATATTCCGACGATTGGTAAAGAAAGTTTGCACGAATATAGTAATGATAATGGGATCCGTCTGATAAACTTTGCCATCTCGAAAAACCTGATAATTAAAAGTACGACGTTTAAACACAAGGATATTCATAAATATACTTGGACATCACCGGATTCGCAAACACGAAATCAAATCGATCATGTCTTGATACAACACAGCTGGCAAAGCAGTATAATCAATGTACGGTCTTATCGCGGAGCAGAATGTGGGTCGGATCATGAATTAGTAATCGCGAAACTTCGACAAAAACTTAATATAAAAAAGAGAAAAGAAAACCGTTTCGATTTTGAGAATTTTAATTTGGAAAAATTAAAAAATCCATCAATTAGAAACCAATTCGAGCTAGATGTTAAGAATAGGTTTGAAGCTTTAGAGCTTCCTGACGAGGACCACGAGGATATTGACAAGTTATGGGTAGAGATCAGGGATAATATTAAAGCGGTCGGTAACTCGTGTCTAGGAAAAAAGGAAAATAAGAATAACAAACCGTGGTTTGATGAAGATTGCTTAAACATGTGTGAAAAAAGAAAAGCCGCTAAATTAAAAGCTCTAAATAATCCTAGCGAAGACAATCTGGAATACTTCCGAATCTCAAAGAACGAAACGACAAAATTGCTCAAAAATAAAAAAAGAGAGTATCTTAAAAATAAAATAATTGAAATAGAAACTAATAGAATCGAAAATAACGTAAGAGACATGTACAAAGGTATAAACAGATCACGTAAATATGTAGGGCCCGTAACGTCTGGAATTAGGGATGATAATAACAATATTCTGACCGATCCGGTTGACATATTGAATAAGTTTAAGGACCACTTTGACAATATTTTAAATACGGGAAATTATGATCTGTGTCCTCCTTCTGAGTACCAGAGTGCTGAACCATTAATAGAAGGACCAAGTAAAGAGGAAGTTGAAGTAGCTATCGGAAAATTAAAATCATATAAAGCAGCGGGAATCGATAATATTCCTACTGAACTAATTAAGGCATGCGGAGAAGCTGGAGTTTCTAAAATACATCGGTTGGTTAAAAAGATCTGGGTGAACGAGAAATTACCTGAAGAATGGAAAGAATCTATACCGAGGACGGATTGTAATAACTATCGAGGAATTTCACTCCTTCCGGTATGTTATAAAATATTCACTTCAATCTTAACCAGTCGAATCACGGAATACGCCGAGGAAATTATCGGAGACTACCAATGCGGATTTAGACGGAATCGTTCGACAATTGATCAAATATTTTCTTTACGGCAAATATTAGAGAAAAAATTGGAGTATAACGGTATTGTTCACCAGCTGTATATAGATTTTAAAAAGGCTTACGATTCTATTGACCGCCAGAAACTGTATAATATTCTAATCGAGCAGGGGATTCCAAAAAAACTAGTAAATCTAGTCAGGATGTGCTTGACGGAGACACTCAATAAAGTTAGAATCGGTAATAATTTGTCCGAAAAATTTGAGGTTCGTTCGGGCTTAAAACAGGGGGATTCTCTTTCGCCTGTCCTGTTTAATTTGGCATTAGAACATGCCATTAGGGAGGTGATGCGAACCGAGAAAGGGTTGGATCTGGGCGGGACAACATCCGTGCTGGGCTATGCTGATGATCTGGTATTGTTAAGCGAAGACGTTGAAACTATAAAACTAAATACGACAACGTTAATGGAAGCCGGTAAAGAACTAGGACTCGAAATAAACGTGGATAAAATAAAATATATGGTTAGCTGCAAAAATGGCGATACTACTGGTGATATCGATATAGATGGTAATATGTTTGAACAGGTAGATAAATTTAGGTATCTAGGTTCTACGATAACTAGAAAAAACGAAATTGAAGAAGAGATTAAGGTTAGACTGAAGGCGGGGAATGCTTGTTATTTTTCTGTGACAAAACTACTTAGTTCGCGCCTCTTGTCCCGAAACTTAAAAATTAGAATCTATAAAACAATTATCTTGCCTACAGTTCTTTATGGATGCGAAACTTGGCCGCTTACATTAAGGGATGAGCAGCGTCTTAAGGTTTTTGAAAATAAAGTATTGCGTAGAATATTCGGACCGAAGAAGGATGAGTTAACCGGAGAGTTCAGACGGTTACACAACGCCGAATTGCGTGAGCTGTATCCGGGTAATATAATTGAGGTAATTTCATCGCGGCGAATCAAATGGGCTTGTAAAGTTGTTGGGCTTAGTAACGAGAGAATTCCTAAAAGGTTAATATTTGCTGTGCCGAATGGTAAGCGTCCGAGGGGTAGACCGAAGCGAAGGTGGGAGGATTGCATTAAAGCCGATCTGAAGGGACTGGGTTTGGACGGCGAACGGTGGAGGGAGGTGTGTAACAAGCGATTGGTGGTGTCGGCATCGAACCTTCGGGTTCGCTAAGCCTTATTATTATTATTATTATTATTAGGTCTGTACTTTAATTTTAACATTTATTTTGTAAATGATTATTTAGCCCAGATAAAGAGCTAAATACAGTAAAACTGAAGGCAAACAAAACATACAATAAGTGTTCCATTTGTTGAGTTTAGTCTCCGTTGGCGACCTTTCTGACCAACTTCTCTTTAAAGTATTGAAGTTTTTATATTATTTGATCAATTTAAAAAAGACAAAATGGCAGATATACAAAAGTAATAAAATAATATAAATTAAATTGTGTTAGTAATACATAGGTATAAAACAAATAAATCAATAAATCTTTTTACACAATAAAGAAAAAACAAATTAGAGCAAATAGCTTTGGAACAAATAGCAGAGTGGGGGATAAGCAACCATTACAAAATAATAAATAATCAATCTAAACTAAATGAATAACTTACAAAGTGCTGTTAATAAGTAAAATTAAATTAAAAAATGCACAGCAGAGCTAAATTTAATTTATAACTATTAGAGGGTAAAGTAAAAGTAAAGATTGGAAAAAAAAAAAAAAAGAAAGAATAGAATCTAATTTTATAAAGGGTACTTAATAAAACAAAATATTAGGAAATTATGTGATAAAAATTGATTAATAAAGGAAAGCTAGAAGAGTGCCAGATATTAATATTAAAATACATAAAATAGATACTGATTTCCTAGTTCATGGATCATAGTATTAATATAAAAATTCACAATTTAAAATCCACTCATCAAAAGCTCATTCAAACATTGATAATTGTTAAGCAAAAATTGTAGCAATTTAGTACATTTTTTTATTATCTAAATGAATAATTAATTTCTAATTTCCTTTACAAACATTAGAGAAAAAAAAAAAAAAAATAGCTCGGCAAAAAAGTACTTAACTGAAAGCATGTATCATGTTTAAAAACAAACTTAAAAGGAAAATAAAATCAAATGTGAAGCTACCTCCTATGCATGTCTATCCAATGGGAGTCAAGACTGTTGGGGAGTCGTGAGGCAGAAGTACTCTTCATGAGCTCTTCCTTGAGTCGGTCGTTCAGTTCACGCTCTCTCAGCTCACGGATCTCCCTCTCCCGCTTCTCTCGCTCAAACTGCTCCAGCTCAAGTCTGGAGAGTACAATGTCGGTCAACACCGTCAATAAATAAATGCAATGCACAATCCGTATGTGCGTCTTGTGATCAGTTTAAATTAAAAGAAAGTTTAATAAATAAAAATGTATCATTAATTGTAATTATTATATATTTTTTTTTTTACTTTAAAGGCACTCTGTATTCACAAATCAAAAGAACAGAAAAGAAATAAGAAAGAGAGTTCAAACATGTAAAAGACAGAAATTAGTCTTCAATCCATCACACATAAGTCAGATTTCTTCCCCTTCCCAAAAACAAAAATGAAAAAGAGGGAAAGCTAAATGCTCTAATTTAAACAAAGAAGATAATCAGTATTTTTTTTTTTTTTTTGCACTTTCATTTATTTATCCAACAACTATCGACAATCAGCAGATGTGCTGGTGTAGTTATGAGAGAAAAAAATAAAATAAAAATAAAAAGGCTTGATAGGCATGAGGAATAGCAATGCCCTGCGGTATCCCATCCATGGCTTTTATTTACTAATACAAATATCAGACAACAAAAATAAATTTTACAGGATAAATAATAATTTAAAAAATTAAGATGATGTAGGGGGCAAAATCTTTAATTAAGAAACATTTTCTGGATTCATTTCAACAAAGTCAAATCAATATATGATAAAATTTATGGTTTTAGTCAAAATTTTAAAAAATAAGTTAATCACAATATGTTTTTCATTAAAAACTTGAAAGTAAAATTTTCAGAGTTGAAGAAATTTTTTAAGGAGAGTATTTATCAGGGTTAAAGGCATGGTATTTAGGACATACATACATGTAGACCATTCTCATCAGGCTTAATGGGAATTAAGGTTCCAAAAAATTTAGATTTTCACAAAGGATGAATTATTTTAGGATGGTTGATTAATATGTCTGTTAGTTCCTTCATGTGTATAAATTGAGTATTATCAACTTCAATGAGTTTGAAAAGATATGGTTGAAAAAAATTTACAAACTACAAATTGTCTGATAAAACTCAAGCATGTTATTTACAGTAACAATATAGTGTATAAAAAAAAGTCATTTTCAATAAAAACATACTGTGTTCCGGTATTACCATACGATTAATATTTAAACATCCTGATTTAAGCAAATTCACCTTCACAAAAAACTTATGTCTTACATCTGGTACCATCACTAGGCTTGTTCAAATTTTTGTTTGTTGCGCGACAGATAATTAATTAGGAGCTTCATTAAATAAATCACCTATATAAGAGTATTGCAGTTCTTTTTTAAAAAATGTTTTTTTATTTAGTGGGACATGAAAAAATAAAAACAGTGTTTACTGTTCTTAAAACTCTTTATTATTAAAACTGCTCGTCTCATTTAAATTATGCATAGGACCTTTTGTGTGCAGAAGTTAGCAAGAAACATTTTATGTCATAGAACGGGGAGAGGAGGGAGTTGAATGGGGGTATTGGCTCTCCTTAAAATTGGTAACTGAATGTCATCCATCAAATTTCTTGACATTTTTTTAACCACCACTAACTAACAGATTTGATAAGAAAAGAGGAAATATAACAAGGAGTTTTTGCCACAAACCTATGACTTAATTTTATTTCTTTAAATTATTATAATAAGAAGCAGCTTTTCAACAGTGTTTAACAGCTTGATTCTTCTCAAGAGCAATTAATAAAATGAATCCAGAATTGTACAAAGCACAATTTTTTTTGTCAGTATTACAAGGTTTAATACATAAATGAATCCATTATAAACAAGTTTTTATTCTGACCAAATGGATATCAAAAGGTCAAATTTCTTGTTCAACAGATGATAAAAATCCCTAACTTAACTTAATATATTACCTTTCTCTAGCCCCAGCTGAAGCATACATTTGGTAATGAAGCATAGGATCTATGCACTGAGGCGGGAGGCCGAGGGCAGCTGATCTCTGGAGAGTTACAGGAGAAAAACCACCATGAGGCCTTGCATATTCACTACAAAATAATAAAAAAATCAATTAATGAAACAGCATAAACTGAGATATGGAATAGAATAGAACATAACAATAACACATTAACGACCAAGCCATTCGAGTGAATCTTTCTCTGTGGACCAAATTGTTTTCTTTTTTAATTTCTCATTTTCAAAGCATCATGCATTTTTTAATTAAAAATAATTTAATCACGATAATAAAAAAAAAAAAATGGAGCAGGCGTATACACCTGACATTGTCCATATGGATATTACAGGATATTAATTTAATTTTTATTTCCCTATTAATAATCTTGTTAGTTAGTTATTTCTTATGTGTATATAATCAAATTTCTTATATGTTTATATTCAGCGAATATGTGTTTTAACCTTTGCAGGTATACAGTACTGTAAAGTATGGCCATACTTTTCCGTTTCCCATTCAAAACCAATAGGAACAGACAGTTCATGTAAAAAAGACGATACACAATATGAAATTTAATTTCAGACATTTTTATGATGGTAATTAAAAAGTAAATCGAACCCAAAGTGATAAATATTTTCAAAAGAACCATAGCTGTCATTCTTCACAGGTAAATTGATGTTTTAACTGCACATCGATTCCTGAAACAAGCTTGTTTGTGGATCTCAATGGCGGGCATATAAGCGTTAAAATGTTAAGAATAACAGCTGAGCACAGAAAAATAAAAATTATTTATGGCCAAAAGCCTATTATTTATAAATGAATATAGCTACAAATATTCATTGATGATTGATTAAATAAAATTTTTAAGTTTACATTAAAGAGGCAAAAAAGTTTAGGAATAAAAAAAAAAGAGACACAGAGATAAATTTCTAAAGATGCTTGGTCAATTTTTTTTCTATTTTCTCTGCTAGTACACATGCACTCTTAATCTTCCTGTGGTAATTTTCTGAGAATAAACTATAAAGATGCAGTATCTTGTAACGTTCAATAGAAAATAAAGAACAATATGCCAACGAATCCTTCTACTATTTCCAAGAGTAGCAGAAGGGAAGGCTTTCCAAAAATCCAAGCAAACGAAAACTGTGGAGTTATTAAAAACAAAGAAAAAACATTTTTTTACAAAATTAAAATTTAATGTTTTCAAAGGTGTAGACACCTATGTATCCAGTTCATAAAATTGTGAGTATGACTTTACATTTAGTCTTTTATTGAATGCACTTTTATCAAACACCCAAGCAGTTTACACAAAATTGGAAACAAATACAACCTAAGATCAAAACCAAGTAACTCAAGAAAAAGGAGGCAAGATGGAAAAATGACTGCCGAAAAAAGACTGTGTGCCTTAAAATTTTTAAACTTTAGTTATAAAAATTTTATAACTATGGTTTTTGAACTCACGAATAAATATGGAATAACTGGTAAAAAAAAAAAATGTCACACAACAAAATTAATTCAAATTGGATGCTTTCAAATGGATAGACCCATATGCAATTAAATGAAGATATCTTTTCTGGAAATTTACTATCATGATTTTTATAAATAAGAAAATTTATAAAACTCAAAAAAATAATAATGAAAGATCAATTATAAACTTCAGAAACAATGTTTTATTTGTTTTAGTTTAAGATCTTTTATTTTCGCCCAAGAATAATAATGAATTAAAGTAACCATAAAGTAAGTTTTTTTAAGCTGCTAATTGCTTTTACTTTAATTTTTTCCTTTAAGTTTCAAAAATATGGAAGCATGGTAGGTCAGTGAATAAGATACTGTGCTCCTATGTTCCTATGCTCAAGTTTCCCGGTTTGATATGATTGTGGTTGATAATTATTTATTCTGTTCTATCAACTGATAGTCCTTGGGGTTGGGAGACACTCCTTGAGCACACACAGCCTCTATTAAGTGGGTACTCTTAATTAAATAAAATAAATAATTAATAAAGAGGCAAAATTTGGTGGTTGAGCGAGATCTCTATGAAATCACCTCATTACACAACTGTAGAGCAAAATACAGTACTTCCTTAGCAATTACTGAACCACAGATTGTAGTGGTAATGATTTCTTTAGTTGTTTTGTTTTCTCAAGTTTCAACATTCTATTATTCAATCCCATAGATCCAAAAATCTCGGAACAATTTATTTTCAAAAATATTTCAATAAAAACTATTAAGCAAAAAATTATATTAACATACCTCAACTGTCTGAGGGAAGGAGAGTCAGGATAATTGGTCCGAGGATTGAACCTATCATAAGGAGATGAAAGAGGTTCAAGAGATCCTCTTGATGGAGGTTTTGATGTTTCAGGCTTCTCAGGTGTTGCTATTTTTCTCTGAAAACAATAAGTAATTTAAATACTAAGAAGACTGATGAATAATTAAGACTTGTAAATTAAACCCATAGTTAACCAGCAAAGCACAAGGTTCACAGCATTAAGGTTATAAGAATTAAAATCTATTCTTCAAGAAATTGCTGTATCTACCTAAATATCACCAGTTCATTGCAAAAAGTCACTCAGTTTTCAAGTATGTTTTTTTTTTTTTAAATGTCCACTTCATTTATCACTACATAAACAAAGTAAGTACACCAAAATGACACAAGCCCTTTTTTATACAACTGACTGATAATTCGAATTTTTTTGACAATTCAAACTCTTCAGCTGTTAAATTCGGTAATTGTAAAAAATGCTGTATTTTGATCGAAATCCTATTCGTAAAACAAGAGGAGAGAAAATTTTACAATTCAAACTCCCCTATTCTGAATTCTTAATTTTCATAGTAATCATTTTTTAGCCAAAAAGTGAACTGTTTATAAAGGGCTGATTTTTATTCAAAATTGTCAAAACTTATTTATTTTAAAATTACTTACAGCTTGTACTTTTTCTCTCTCTTCTCTTTCCTTCTCAGCTTGTTTACGTAGTCTTTCTTCTCTTTTTCTAGCTAATTTGGATTCCGGAACAGGTTTAAATGTTAAATCAGTCCTACAGCAGGAGTTGTAATCGCCACGATTCCAATGACGTAAAAATCTAAAATGAAAATGTGAAAGGTTTTCATTAGAGGATACAAATAATTAAAGCCCAGTTATAAATAATAATAGATCATTGATAAAAAATAATAAATTAAAAATAAAGATTAGGTATATGTAGTGTGTTTTAGATTTATTTGAAGGAGATAAAATGAATGACAATTGACAAAGGCATGAATTTTGAACTTAAATTTACCATAAATTTTACAAGGAATTATTAACTAACATTTTTTGATAAAATGAGATTAATGATGCTTGTTACTCTCCATTAATTTTTTATTTTAATTTTATTTAAAAAATACATTTATGCCTTTATCAATTTCATTTTTGCTTATTTCCTCTACGACAATGTTTTAACTGCATTTCGATATATTATACACTGTACTTTTTTATTAGACCACCTTCAAATGTTAAAATAATAGCATGCAAAAAAAAAAAAAAAAAAAGAAGTGAGAGAAATTTCATAAGTAACAAAAAATGTTTTAGTTAGCACATACATGAAATTTTTTATTTATTTATGTTAGACCAGTATGCAACTAATCAAACCATTGTAGTGATAAGAAGTAGTTATTGTTTTAATTGCTGATACATATAATAAAGTATAAGAGTAAAATAAATAGTTGAATCAAAAATAAGAAATAAAAAAATTTCAAAACATAACCTGAATTAATTTATATCACAATTTGTATAGGTAACAGTAGTTATAAGATAAAACTTCAAATATTATACAATAAATAAAAACATAAAAATAATGATTTAAAAAACAGCCATAATATTAATAAAATTCTAAAAAACAATAATTCATTAAAGGATTCATTAAAGGAAATATAAAAGATATAAGATCAGCCAGCGTGGTCGCATAAATTATAATTAGAGACCAGATCTGAAGATATTAATTTTCCAAGGAATAGAAAATAAAAATTAATTTTTAGATCTAAAAACATCTTAAACCATTTATTAAAAAAAGATAAGATAAAAATATAATAAATTATAAAAACTCTTAAATAATTAGTGGATTGGAGATGAATAGCACGAGATTTATTATCAATAGTCACAATTACTTTTATTACAAAAAATTAATGTTAACATTTATTTAAGGAAAAAATGACTAATTTCTTAATAGAAAATTTCGATCTGATTTCAGAAAAAGTAAGATATTTTCACAAGACAAATATTTTTAAATATAATACACATAAGAAAAAATTCAGTGATTTAATATACGAAAGATACCAACATAAAAACACCACAATTAAACATTTAACATTCGAAAACATTCAATGCCATGGACATATTAAAAACAAATATATAAAATAAAAATGATTTTAGAAGTTTTTACTATTTCTATCTTAAAAAGGAATGAAATCTAAAAGTTATTGATGTAGGTTGGAAGAAAAGTAATTTATTTTAATAATATTTTTAGTAGAAAAACTTATACCTTTATTCATAGTTTTACATTTTAACACTGCAATCACCTGTTCCAGAATCAACTTACTCATTGTCTGTACAGATATAAATTTTCCAACTGGAAATATCACTAATGATTTTCCTCAAAAATATTGAAATTGTAATTAGTCAATCTGTCAACTGAAAGGCTCATGTAATAACTTAAAAACTTGGGCAAAGCAGAAGTAAAAATAAATAAAATAAATTTTGTTTAAAATTATATAAAATTTTGTTTTTCTCGCCTCCTAGTGCCCATTGGAACGAATGCTGGAATATGTGTCTAACATTTTTTGAAGTAGTATCACCGAAAAAGTTTCTTACTTACTCCTCAGTACTATAGTCCGCGTGGGACCTTGGCCTTCTCAACGATACATCATCACTCGTCTCGGTCCAATGCCACAGCCCTCTACTGCCTGATACTAAGCTGTCTCAAATCTATCTAAACATCCTCCAGCCAACGGAGTGGTGGACTTACTCTCCTTCTTACTCCTCCAGGTTGCACATATAATATTTTCCTCGGTACTCAGTCCGCTGCCATCCTTTCCACATGTCCTAACCATCTTATTCGTCCTGCCTAAATGACACTAACGAGATCTGTACCCCTGTAGAGTTGTAGCAACTCCTGATTGTATCGGGACATGCAAACGACTTCTTCGCATACAGGCCCGTAAATCCTCCTAAGAATCTTATGCTCACACATTCCAAGAGCCCTCTCATGTTTTGCTGAGATAACCCATGTCACGCTTCTGTATGTGACTACCAGACAAATCATTGTTTTATAGATTGTCAATCTTGCATTCCTTGATAGTCTTCAAAACTGAAAGTAATCGCTGTATGGCATAAAAACATCGGCTTCCCACAGCAATCCTGGCTCCTATCTCATTGTCTTCCATCATAAGGGATCTCAGGTATTGGAACTCTCTGCATACTGGGAACTCGTTTGGTCTATGTTTAGTGTCCGATCTTGATGAGGGCGATGTCTTGAACCCTTCATGTACATAGTCATTTTCTCGTTTATTTGTAGACCTTGAGCTGCTGCAGCGGTTTCAAATTCCTACAATGCACCTGGCAGCGCTAGGAGCGTCCTTCCCACAATCTCTACATCATCTGCGTACAGCATGTATTGTGTAAAGCTGTCAAAGATGGTACCTCCTCCCGGGTTAGTTCTTATGGCCCTTGCTGTCTTCTCCAAGGTCATGTTAAAAAGGGGATTAGCCTTGGTGTCTCCTTGCATTATTCCCGAAGCCACAGAGAACTTCTCAGACAGCAATTCTTGTATCACCAAAAAGCTATGTACTAAAATTGGTGATCCACTGACTGATTGTAAACTCCCTTGTGAGTTAAATTATACAAAACTGGATTGTTAAAGACATTAATATGCTATGATAATTTATTAATGGAGTCAAAGCTTGTTATACCACAGGTCTAGTCTAGTCCTCCCACTCTTTAATTAGTCTTACAATAAGATAATAATACATATTATAATTTTATTCTTTATTCCATTGCCTTTATCTTTTCCATTGCTTCTCATATTAATTCAATTTTGACTCATTAACTTAGATTAAAAAGTATAAATGGTCTGTTGAGGTTGTAAATTTACTGAAATTGGTTTCCATTAAGCCAAAAAAAAAAGGAAATATGAAGATGAAAAAGAAAGGCTTAAAACTAAATGATATTTATACAATAACATTAGTTTTTCATGATTTATTAATATTGATGTATAATTTGTGTTATTTTTCAAAACAACAGAATTTTTAGTATAATTAATCAAATATTTTTATCTGACAATTTTAGTCCTATCTTTTAGCTATATTGACTATTAGGCATGTCTAAGAACATCTCAAAAAATTTTAATTTTTTTTTTTTTCAAAAGGAACTGGGGACTTCATAATTCTGGTGACAGGAGACTGTCTAATAGTCAAAACTCAAGTCAGGAATATATTCTTTGAGAATATTACTATTGGAAGTTTTCAAATTCACTATTGTTTGTTTTCCGACTGAGGGCCATTATGAAGCATGGCCAATATGTAGATTTTTATACTGTTATAAGTTTTAGAGCTTACAGCTACCTCCTTAAATAGTTACAAAGCTTTATACACAAGTTCCTGTCACTTAGTTTCTATTCGAAAACAAACATTAATGAGGACTGTATACAAGGAGAATGGAAATTGAAACAGAATATTAATTTTAAAATGTTGGAATAACAAACAAAAACCAAGGCAGATGATTATTAAACTTGATCATGGCACTACTGAAATTATGGCAGGTGAGTACAACTGTTCTGTTTATGCATGTTCTTCTTCACACCATGTGGTTGGGAAGGGAAATGAGAGGCAACTGACAACGGGAAAGTACTGAAGAAGCATCTATGTTGCCACGGGTCATAAAAATGTCTTACTAAATCCTTTTCAAAACCATTTTTCCTGAAGAGAGAAACCTTAGGAAACACTATGGAGAGAGCAACTTTGCTCAAAATGAAAAGACAAAAGTTCCTGGTAAACATGATGACATACTGAGTGATAAAGCTTTAAAAAAAAAAAAATATATATTCTTAATTTAACCCTTGACTCTTTAACTAGCCTGTTCTCACAACTATATTTTAAACTTGTAGGGTTCCTCTGATTAAGGGAGTATGGTCTAACTTCCAGCGGGGACCAGCTATACTGAGAGGAAAGGCAGGGATTCAATTCTATGATCTTTAGTAGTATACACATATATAGTATAGCACACTATAACCACTCTGCAATATTAGCCTTTTTTAATACCGATCTTATCTTCTTATATCTTGACTGTTATACACACACAAATATATTTATTATCATTAGCTGCTGGTAGACTTTGACCAATAATAAACATGTCTATCATACCAATTTACCCCAAACCTTATACTGAAAAAATGACACAATACCTAAATGAACAGAAAAAAATTCAATAAACCACAAATTATTTCCACCTTAGAAACAACGGTACATGTCATAGCAACGGAGAGACAACATTAACATTTAATCACATTACTATACAACAGCTCACTTCTTGGGTGGTAAAGATAACATTCGACCGTGTATACAATCCGCTGTAGAGGAGGAACGCTTTCTGAAAACAAGATTTTCAAAAATTATATTATGGAGTATCGTGATGAATAACTTCATTCAAACAATTTACTTTCATCAATTATAAGACAGGAGAACATGAATTGAGAAGTTCTTTGGAGAGGAAGTTCAATCAATAGAGAATAGCTTGTTATTCTAAATTAACCCATTTTAATTTCAGACATAGTGATAAATTAAACTTGATAATGTGCTACAATCATTTACTAATTTGTTTTCAACTTCTCGTATATGTCTAATTTTTCATTATTATTCCCCTTAAAAATTTGTTACTAGTTTTGTTATTTTTACTTTTTTTAAATTATTTTATCCTAATACTAAAATATTGAATGCTAACCGGCTTTAAAAGGTAGAAGAAAGTTAATAATTGCTAAAATAAGGGCAGGAAGTTGGGAGGAAGAGAATATGGTGTTTTCTAAAGTATCATTCTAAACACATAACTGTCTAGTATAACTATTAGTCAAGATGCAGTAATTTTTTCCTAAAAACCAAAAATCCAAGATTCATCAATAAAAAGTCTGCTTAATATAAAGCATTTCCCATAAAAAAAAGTTTCAAAACGCTGTTGCTTTGAGGGAAACAAATTTCTCATCAATTATTTTATTATAAAACTAGTGGCAGATCACGGTTTATTATGTGGCATACCTAAACTTGATTAATATAGACATAAAGATTATTAAAAGGGAAAATTTTCCAGAATTGAGGTATCTATAGCGCAGTTGAAGGATGATGAAAAATAAGTGAAAGTAAAAACTGTGAACAATCCATGTTTTATTTAGTTTAGTTGCTTGAAAACTACTTTAAAACAATTTTAACTAAGACAAATTATACTCATATTTGTATTGGCTGGATGAAGATATTGGTAATTGCTTAAGTTAAATATTTTTTATAGTTCAATTCAATAACACAAAATTTAAATTTCTTGATTTTCAGTATGGAATTGGATCAAGGTGTATATGATCATTTTTGTAGCTCTTGAGGTCTACTTTTACCTATTTCCTATTATTTACATCATTTCATTATATCCATATATATTATATATTATATCATATATATGGTCAGCATTTAATAGTTAATACAAAAAATTATATATTACAATTAAACTTACATTGCACTTTGAGATCTATGACACTCGGTATCTTCGATTTTTGGTTCAGGACTTGGGCCACGAGGCACATGATGAGGAGGAGAAGGTACTTCTTCATCATCACCATTCCCTCCGGCCTCGTCACTTGAAACTGTAATTGGTTCTGATTTCAGTAAATCAGATGACCCAGCATATCCTGGGGGTGTACCTAGTAAATTATTTAAAAATATATAACAAACATGGAAAGAGTATAACATGTGACTTTTTATAAAGTGACTTTTTATCACTATTAATATAATATAACAAAAAATCTAATAAAATTATCAGATATACACTAACAACCTATAGGTAACATAGTAGAACTATTAACTCAACCAAAATAATTTCTAGATTAATATTAGAGATTATCATACACTTTTCGAAAAATATTAGTACATCATAATAACAATCTTTAGGTAGTCATCTAGGCAAAAAGTTATAGGGACCAGTTCTCTCTTCCCACCAATAACAGTAATAGTGAATCACTATACTGATACTAAACATACCACAATTTTAAAATAGTAAAAAACTGCAATTGACAGCTGATTTTGTTTCAGTTATCCCCTATTCTGTGGGTCCACCATGAAATAAATTTTAGCCATTCCAGAACAACATGGCTAGACTCAAGAATGTTAATGCAGGAAACACTCAAATATGCTCGGCCATCAGGGCCTCTATCTATCAATTGACATCAGTACTTTTAATTTATTTTTTTAGACTATCTCTTCCACGCATTTTGGGCTAAACAGGGATTTTCTCTGGCCAGAGGAGGACAAGGGATAAATGCCAAAGACAAAAGCTCCCTCCCCAACGCATTGAGACACGAACTTCTAATTATTTTATAACTTGTAAACTTCGGTTTATCATGTAGTTGGTTGCCAGGGCAGTGTGTATTTTGTAACACACATTAGCCCGCTCATTGTTACTGTACTGTGAAATACATAGCACAACTGTAACTACTTTGTTTACAATGACAGTTTCATAGTTTGAATATCTGTAATTCTTGAATTATTTCCCTCCATTTTTTCTGTAACAAACTATCTTGATTATAATCTAGATATTTGGGACAAAATATTCAACTAGAAGAAGTGGCATCAGTAAAGGCGATTTGAAGCAGAATTGGTATACACTTGAATTATAGACAGCTCTGAGTAGAGGGAAACTCAGAGGAAATTGCTGCTGAAACAGTAAACGAAGATATAATGCACAGTAAAAGTGTTTCATCAGCTAGAAACAGTATTGAAATACATGGAACAAGACAATCATATTTCAATGTGTGTAACTGCCAAAAGAGGGGCTCCACCCTAAGAACGGCACTGATTTTTATATATATTTATTCAATTCAATTTTCATGACATTATTTCAAAAGATAGAAAACGATTACTAACGATTTAATGCAATTTTGGTCATAAAATGTTTAATCTTCCATGGACAAGAAAAATAAGTAAAAACATATGGAGCAATAGTTGAAAATCAGAGAAAGTCATAAAAAAAAAAAATTTAAACAATAGATTATAAAAAACAATAGTTGAAAATAAAAAAGCAATTGATAGAGACGTCAATCACAACAGCTTAGAGAAAATTGAGAAGGGAGAGGGTAGGCCGAGCTTTGGCGGTGTAAGCCGACCTGATCTATGTTGCTCCTCCTCAAAAATATTTTGCTTCATGTGGGCCGAGGCACAAGGGGTAAGTATGCAAGACCAGCACAACAAAGATGCAAGCTAAAAATCTCCAGCCGGCTAGTTCCCAAGATGCAAGTGCCTCTTGCATCCATGCTGCATCTTCAGTGTGAAAGCTCTCATTCTATTACACATTCCAGTGTTTAAGATGCATGCTTCCTGGAGGCAGGATGCATGCATCTTGTATCTTGCATCTTCAGTGTAAAAGGGGCCTAAAAGTTCAGGACGATATCTAAAGAACATGTGCTTAGGCAAACCTCACTTTAAATGCCAAGAAGACAAAAGCCTTCCTGATCGGATCTCCTCACTCCTCAAAATCTTTTCTGTACATCCGAATCTTCTTCTGAACGACTCACCTATCTCATTCCGTACCAATGTTAAAAATCTTGGTGTTACCTTTGATCAAATCCTCTCCTGAAAACTACACACCTCCCAAATTTCTGGTCATACTATTACCTGAAACAGTTCAACTGTCTACGCTATCTCCTTCCTTCAACTCCTGGTTTCCTCTCGTGTTTTCCACCACTTTGACTCTGGCTGTATAGTGTACAGCGGACTCTTAGAAGCATTCGAAGCCAAACTCAAACATCTAATGAATTGCTCAATACGGTTTTTCTTCGGGATCTTAAGAGATACACATATTACACCGAGTTAAAGTGGTTCTATCTGTCCTACTCGATCAGTACTTTCTTGCTACCTTCCTATACCAGGCTATTAGAATTCAGCGACCTTCCTATATTTTACAGAGTCTACAATTTAAATCCTCCATTCAATCCCGTCCCACCAGATTCCATATGTCCACCACTACCATCATCACCGAACTGCTGCATTTAACAAATCCTATGCAATTCAAGCAGTCTCCCACTGGAATTCTATCCTTTCCGATACTACACACACAAACAGTTTTCTTTTCCAAATCTCTCCTTTTTAAGCACCTATTTCATTTACAATATCATTGATCATGAAATGCACGTAAGAGAACTCTCAAAGTACCGCCAAGATACTATTTTGTTTATTTTATATTTCTCTGTTTACATTATAACACATCGCTCAATAAGTCCCCGGTCTGACACATAGATGGATAGCAACATTGTTGATAGACCCACATTATTTCCGGGTAATACTAACCTTCAAACAGTATATGTCAAAATTTCATGGCATTCTGACCGTTAGTTAGCTAAGAGGTTATAGACATTTTATAGACTCCAGTTTTGTAATTTTCAAGACAATGGATAGAAAGAAATTCCGTGTGTTGATTAAACACTTTTTTGGTGGGGAAAAGTACTGTTGAAGACAAACAGCGGCTTGATAAGCATTATGGGGACTCTGCACCAGAGAAATCAACTAACATTGACTGGTATGTTAAATTTAAAAAGCACCCTCTAGTCGCCCAAAATCAGTATTGTTCTGCAAAACATAAAAAATGTCCACAAAATAAATTTCAAAAACATAAAATGAAGTTGCGTGATATAGCTGACACCTTGAAGATACCAGAACGTAGTGTCTCTACAATTTTACATGAAAATTTGTGAATGTGCAAGTTGCCTTTTAAGTGGGTGTCCCGTTTGCTCACTCTGGACCAGAAACAATAACCCGTCAATGATTCAGAGCTCTGTTTGGAGATGAAACATGGATCCACCACTACATGCCTGGATCAAAAAGACCATCAGCTGAGTGGATAGCAGTCGGTGAAAGTCATCCATAGCGACCAAAAACTCAAAAATCCCCCAGGAAGATATTTTTTTTTTTAGTTTGACCGGAGACTTATTGTATTGTATCTACGCTTTTTTTCTATCGTTCAATTACTAATATTTTTACTTTATATTATCAATTATTTTGTAAATATTTAATTTAAATTATGGATACATTGACATGTTTTGTTTATATTTTGCTTTTATAATTTCATCTAAAGAGAAACTGGTCCGAGAATAATAAAATTATTTTCTTTCATTCATTCCAGTGGTTTTTCTTGATTCCAAAAAGGAAGGTGTGAGACAATTACAAATAAATAAAAAATTAAAAAATCTACTAACTAGGAGATAAGTTTGAGGAGAGACATCCACAATCTTACACTTGGGGTAGGTTAGCATTATCCCTGCCACCGCACCCTCTTCAAGCCAAAAGTAGCAGTTAAAACGTTAATGATAATAAATAAATATTATATCATTATTTCAATTTTAAAACCCTCACAGTATAAAAACAAATAAAGACTAATCTAAGAATATACCTCTCATTAAACTGAGCATATTGCAATATTTCATCGTTTATTTTGTAGATAAAATTTGTTTAAAATTATACATTGTTAATGCTGTTAGATTTAAATAAATTATATATATTACCATGAGATGAAGGTAAAGAGGACTGAATTGCTGCGGCTTGGGCATGCGCTCTTAGAGCCTCTAAAGAATTCTGAGGGGCCAAGGCAAGAGGATGATGAAGGGAACTGCTTCCAAAGAGGCTAGTATGGGCCTTGCGATCACTGCCACTGCTACTACTTCGGCCCAAATTAGCACCTGCAAAAAACAAACAACATGAAATAAAGTAGTGATAACAAACTTTTAAATGAAGACTAAAATATATGAATAAGTTATACAACGTAAAGGGATCATAATTGTTTCCCTGGGACAGATATGTAAGTTTGTGACTAGAAAAATTTTAAAGTCAAGAAATGTAAGAATAACTGGAGAAAACAAATGGATTGAGATTGAATTTAAAGTTTCAAAAATATGACAAAAAAGAAACATTCCTGTGGAACTGTTAAGTCATGACCATATATAGTGAAGTGTATAAAGCACCAGAATGCACTAATCAAAATTTTATAATCATTAACTGATTCAACTAAAAAAACTAATAAAGCTTTTCCCATTGATATTGAGAAGTATTTATGCTATTGAATATTGTTCTAAAAATTAACTTGAAATATTTCTAAAAAGTTCTATGCTTAACCCATTTAAAAAAAAAAAAAAAATTGAAGTGAACTTTGGAAAGGCCGTTTTGATGGCTTTACAAGTCAAAAGAGAGAATCTTAGTTTTGCATGGATTCTTGACAGCAGGTCAAGTTACAGCATAAAAAAAAAAAAAAAAATTAACTGTTTTTAGTTACAGAACACCAAAATGGTGCTTCCTTGTGAAAACTTTTCAATTTCAATCATTAAAGGAAAGAAAATTTTAATGGATGTGCATCAATCATAAATTTAGTCCACGGATACATGTTGAAAAAAAACACCTCTAAAGGATTGTCAAATAGCCAAAATAGTGAGGCACATAACCGAGGACTGTCCTAAGTGCAACAGAAAAATGGCAAACTTAGGCATTCCTCAATTCCTCACCAAGACAACTAAATGAAGACCGCAGTTACTATAACATATTTACCAAGTTTTAAAAAGAAGCAGGACTTCAGAACTAGTTTTGAATATTTAAAGTTACCAAAAATAAAAAATAAAATGGGTGATGATAATGATTGAAGTTTTTTGCCCTTTAAACTAAAATTTAAAAAAAAATTATAATTTTATTTAATGAAAAAATAAAATATATAAAGATTTAAAATAACTTTCATTAAATTTCTAATCCATTCCCCAATTTACTTTTTAGTTCAGAACTTTTTGTAGGCACATCTCTTATACACCACTTCACTTATGGCTAACAGGTGAAGGGATAATGGCTTATTCATAAATTTAATACAACAAATAATTGCAAGAGATGAAAGAATCTGTAGTACACTCAGCTATGGTCTAAGTAATAGAAAGGAGTTACAGATTTTTTAACGCTGCTTATAACTCCTACTTTTGACTATTAAGTCATCTAACTATACCGTAAAACTCTTGATCGGGTACAAGACTAATTAGGAAAACAAAAATTCTGCCTACTCTATTGTATGGATGAATCAAAGAGAGCCAACTGGCTTAACAGGTATGAGAATATGCCTATAGAGGATATAGGTATTGATTTAAGCATTCTACTTTGATAGCACTGTATTCCGATCCAGCACTATATTTACCAGATTATGAGAAGTCCACATATTCAGAAGTTATCGGTTGTGACAGTGGTGCTGCTATTATCTACCAGGATAGTCAATCAGATCAGACTGTTTGAACCCTAATGTGACATCCATATTTCTAAGAGCTAACAAGAACTGGAATCACTTCCTAGTGATAAGAAAATAAAATTAATAGTTATTCTTGGTCACTGAGGGATTATCGGTAATAAAGAGGTTAATCAACTTGCTACAAAAGGTGCTAAGTTTCCACCATCAATACCAGAACATTTAATAGATACATTGAGACGAGGCTAGAAAAAGAAGTTCTTGATTGGACCTGGGGAAGTGACAAGCAAGGAATGAAAGAAATCTGTAGGCCTCAGACAATTCACGCTATTAATAAAAATATTTCCTACCTCTAGAACTAATTGACTGCTAGGCCTAAATAGAAATTGACTCCAATTGATCATTAAAGAGCTTACAGACTATTGCTGATTTAAAAGACACCTAAAAATTTGTGGAGTGATGGCTGATGAAATCTGCTTGTGATGTTAACAGGCATGAACTTATGTAGACCAAGAACAACTATTATGTTAACCAGCGATTTTTACATAGGAGATTGTGACCAATAATCACTATGAGACAGGATAGAACCCAGGATCATAGGGTTTCATTCATCAAGTGGTCATGCCTTTAGGCTTTCATCAGGAAAAACAAAAGGTTCAATATGAAAAAATAATTTATTTCCAAAAGAAAAATAGACCAAAAGGCCCACATGCTAGGGTTTATTCCTCTCACCATTGCTAGAGCCAGTAACAATATAAAACAGAAGATGAAATTATACGAAATTCCACTATAGGAAATAAGAGCTTTCAAAACATTTATTTTGAGTGACAGGATGGTATAGTACTGTTAAAATAAGTAGTAAGACTTTTACATAAACACTAACCAAAGAAACTGATTTTGGTTATAAAAATAAAGAAAGAAATCTTAAATATTTTAAATGATTGACGATTCTGAGGGAGGTATTTTTGTGAGGCAACATCTACATTACCTCCAGGAATGATGAGGGAAGAAGGAGATAGCCTCTCACCGCTTGCATTCTGATGATGGTGGTGATGATGGCTATGTTGGTGGTGGTGAGAGTGATGGCCTTGTCCATGATTGGTAGACAGCGACGCAGAGGTTGTCTGGGAAACCGTAGCAGATACATGAGCAGAAACCTGAGTACATAGGCACTTATTTTAAAGTTTAAATTTTTAAACTGGTCAGTTTATCTAATGATTTAAAAAACAATGGACATTTCAAAATGCAGGAGTGAATGGTCTAAACACTATTACATAAATAATATATGCCTATAAAGGAATTAATTACTTTAAAATTATACAATGACAATTTTTATTCCTTTCTCTAAAAAGAATTTTTTAAATAATTTCAATTGAGTAAAATTTAGTTCAAGATAACTTATCAAATAAAAATTACCTGTTGTGGAGTTGGCTGCAGTGATGGGCTACCATTCCGCTTACTGGAGTTGATTTTGTGCTGAACGCTAGATGAACTACTAGAAGTAGTTGAATGAGATATTGTCAAACCCTGCCCTTGGTTAGAAGATTTTTCTCCATGATGGAGAAGAGTTGATGAAGTTGTATGTTGATGGTGTGTTTGAGTTATTTCTTGAGTGGTATGATGATTCAAAGATTCATCTCTTGTTTCAACTTCCCTAATAGATCTAGATGTAACAGAATGTGATGTCATCATAGTTGCCGACTCTAATGGCTTGCCATCACGTGAAGGAGGCGGAATCGGTTGCGGAATGGGATATGGACCATAAGGAAATGGATAAGGGTAATAAGGATGATGAGGGTGATATGGATTGTGATGGACAGCAGCAGCATGTGCAGCTGCTGCAGCCAGGAGAGAATGATGCATAAGGGGATGGTGATGATGCATAGCTGGGACAAATGCATGAGGATGAGGAAGGTGTGGAGACACTCTACTTAATGGCGAAGGTTGTTGGGAAGGATGCATTACAGGTTGAGGTATTGATGTAGGAGTGGGATGTGTTGGTGATGGAGCTATTAAAGTGGAAACAGTGGTCGGTGGAGGTGGTGGAGGAGGAAATGGTGATCCTTGTGAACGAGAGACAGGAGCAGGTGAACTAGAAGATTCAGTAATACGGGAGACTGGCGATTTCATTGGAGTGTTAGGCCTGTTTTGAATAAATTCAGGTTCCTTCTTAATATTTTCAATAGATGGGCCTAAGAAAGGAGAATTTGGAGGGTTAGAATCAGACCTACTGGGTTCACTGTGAGATGTCATAGATGAACTGGAAGTAGTAGGTAATAAAGGTTGAGATATTGAAGTACCACTATACCCTGGCACTTTAACTTCTTTGAGTGACTGTAACGGATCCGTTGTAGGAGGTATTTGATCAGGGGCGATTACTTCCTGCTTAATTTTCAAATTTTGAGGTTCGTTTTGAATGATAGGATAAGGTGGTGATGAAGGTATTTTTTCATTCATTCTTGAATGAGGATGAAAATGTGGATGATAAAATTGTGCAAATGGATTATGTTGTGTCGGTACAGAAGGTAAATTAAGGGAAGATGATTTATCATGGTCTATTGAAGGATAAGCAGGAACAAGAATTGATTGGGCTAAAGGAGACTGCTTTCCACTTTCAGTGACTGGAGGAGCTGGAGGAGTGCTGACATTCGGTGGATAAGAAGTCAACTGAATAGGAGACTGCGATGGAGGGTCAGCAGAATTTGATGGATTTTCATTCGTTGATTCAGAAGATCTTTCTGTTTGTGAACATTGAGACTCTTCATTTAGTCCAGGTTCGACTTTAATTGTGGATGTTGGTGGAGGCAGTGGTAGGGAAGTACTAGAATTACTTGTAGTAGATGAGGAATTTGAAGAAACAAAGCTGTCGCTACTTTGGGTAGCTGTTGTTGTGGTACCTGTAGCTGGAGGTTCTTCTTTTGGCACAATGGTTTCCATAGTTACAGGAAGCACGGGTATCATCACATTTTCTGTGTTTTCAAACAACCCTTCTTTCTTTACAGACAACTTTCCAGGTGATGGAATGTCTTCAAAAGCTTTAGGAAGAGGGCCACTACCTGGTTCTAAGGATTTTGTAGTCTGTTGAACTGTAGAAAGAAATTCTTCTGTTTTTGGTTTGAAATCACTTTCAGGAAGCGACTCTGAGGAACTTTTTTCATCTTCCTTAGTGGATACATAAGGACATGGAGAAGATGGAAATTCTTCCTTCACAGGTTCTTCTTTGACAGAGATGACTGGCTGTGGATCAGGTACAGTAGGAGAAGGCGTCCTCCTTTCTGGTAGATCCAACATCATAGAAAGATTGAACCCTTCATCATTAGGTGGCTCTTTTTTAATTTCTTCCTCCGGCATTGTGACTAATTGAGGATTCTGAAGGTTTTGCTGAGTAGTATCGCCAGTATCCTCTGTACCTGGTTCAGCATCATCAGCTACTGAACCACTATCTGTTGTTAAACTTTCACATGGACTATCGGCTCTTTCCCTTTTTCTTTTAAATATGGATACATCTTCTTCAACTTCACTATTCTCAGCATTTCGTTTTCGATTCTTGGTAGGAGTGTCTCCCTTACCCTTTAAGAAAAAAAATAAAATTATTATTTTTAAAATAGGCAGATAATTAATAGGAATTTAAAAAAATAGAGTTTGAGCTTAGTTTATTTTGAAATAAACAAATGAATAATGAAGTTTTAAATCATCTTATGACTATTTTTTTGTTATGAGAATACCTATATGAATTTGCTACCGTAATGTGGAATCCAAAAATCCTAAGAAAACAAAATCAGGTGATTCACTTTTTATCATCAACTTCTTAAATTCAATTCAACGCCACTAGACAGCCAAGTGGCGAATGCACCATGTAGGGACTGCTATGTATAAGCATTACAAGGAAGGCAAAAAATCAATATGTCAAAGTGTCATATAGGCCACCGAGCCTTTGCAATTCCTTCTACATCTTTGCCTGAGTGTATAGACACTGAATGGGAGTGATAGGTGATGATGAAAACAATTGGTTGCCCACCATCAAAATCAGAGAGCTTAAGATTCTTATTACACTATGTGACCAGCTTCCATGACCAGACCAGCCACTAGTCTTAATTAAAATTCAGTATAAAACAAGTCACCTATTAAAATAAATAGCACAAGATAATTTCTCATAAATTCAAACTCAACCAAAAACATTAGACAATACTATTTATATTGATTTATCATTTATCAGAAATCTTTATGTATACTGTACAAAATGTGTCTTATTTTTCATATCAGAGATTTACCATAAATAAGTTATTACTTTTTTTCTCCTGATTATGGTGATAAGAAACTTTCGGTCTCAAACAAAACAAAAGAATTCGGAGGACTTCTCAGAATTCCACAACAACCGATGATAAACATTCTAATAAAAACAATTCCATTAAAATTCAGCATATTCACTGTGATTTTTTTATGTTTCACATACATTTTATACGCACATTCTACGTAGAAAAACATATGTGAAGAATTCTCTGAAATGGGGCTGGAAAGTCATCCACATGATACAGTTTTTCACATTAATGACAGAAAAAAGTGGAGCATTTTCCTAAAATTTAAATTCTGCATTGTAAGGTTTGTAAAGCTGTGTATGTCATGTGAGGACCAGTCTTATGAAAAAGTAACAGAACTGCTTGTGGATGCTGACGAGGAGAATAACTTCAGAAGAAACAGGAAAATAATATTAAAATAGGACAATCTGCTGCATAATTACTCAAATAGACCATTGCAAAATAAATATATTAATGGCAATGAGATGTTATTCCTTATCTACAAAGGTTGCTTTACAGTAGGAGCAAAAAATTGTACTAAAATGTGATTAAAAATCTTAAAATAGTCCATGCTTTTTATACATGTGTTAAACAATGTATAAAACAAGAGATATCTTGTCAAAAACAAGCTGTAATCAACAGTTTACAGTAGCAATTCATTAATAATCAAATCATAAAAATGGTACTTCATTATCTTGGGATAATTATTGACGATATAATAACTTGGAAACCTGATATTACCTCGTTTCTAACTTAAGTAAAATGCAAAATCAGGTCTTTACCTTTTTCTTTGATTTACCTTAAACTACATCTGGTAGAGATAGATGAAAACTCTTTAAGATCTATCGCACTGTGGTTCGCCCAACCATTGATTATGGATCCATTTTTTATGTTAGTCCTACCTCTAGTTTAGTAGCTTACTCAACAAATTGAATGCTTTTCATAATTCTATGACTAGAATAGTGAATGGAGCATTTAGAACTAGCCAAACAATATGCCTTATTTGTAACACGGAAAGTAGTCACAGTCACTATGAAGGACATATAATTTCCTTTATTAAACTTCAATTAAATTAAAGATCACACCAGGTGATCACTCCTGTACCACCCATCCATTATTTTGGATACCCTTCTTGTAAAGTCTATCTATTTCCTTTAGCAAATATTTTCATGACACAGCAATATTGTTCACTATAAAATTAGCATTGGTAGTAATAACATAAATCAGCAACCACAATAAATTTTAAATATTGCAACCTTTTTACAGTAGCCTGATTTTTTGTCCCATGATCAGATTTCAAGTCCTTTGTGAAAATAAAAAATAAATGAAATGAAAATTGGCTTCAGGTAGACAAAGCTAACTAATTAAAAGCAGTTTAAAGAGATAGCAAATTCATGGACAGGATGAGAACTGAACATATAAAACCTATTTATAGCTACCTGAATGGAAAGGAAACTCTCGCCAATAAGTACCCATTGCCAGCAACAATAAAAATGACTTATAAGACATCAGAATCTTTAAGTGATTGTAAATTAAATGGATGGTGCCTCTAGCTTAATGAAGCGCAATGGGACACCACAATATAAGATAAATAAATAGCCTAATATAAAAAATGTAATATTGAAAAGAATTATTGATGAAATAATTTGAATTTTTACCTTCTTTTTATTAGTCTTATCACTCGGAGAATTAGAACAAGTGCTCGACGCACTAGGTGATTTGGCACCTTTTTTGTCTAATTCATCAGGAGTGTTAGTACCACTTCTTTTTGGCCTTGCAGTTCCATTGCTTTTTGATGGCTGAAAAACAGAGAAATACCAACAATCAAGAAGATCGATAAAAAATTAAACAAATGAATCAATAAATTATAACTCACAGTTTCTTTTGTTTTGTTTCTCGTACGCATTCTTCCAGGTGAGCCATCTGGACTATCGGATTGAACAGGACGAAAAAGATATGGTGTTTCTCGACCAGAGCTATTTGAATTGCTATTCGAATTTGTACCATTATTATTGTTATTGTGATTATTTGCCAAGGGTGGAAGCTCGCCGTACTTCTTAAAATGAGCTCTGCACTCTGCACAGAGCAACGTTCTATCCTTAGGTCCTGAGTGTTGATAATCTCGGGAATCTAAAACAAAATGCAAATGTAAAAAGCTAAATAATTAAATGCTTAAAGCATATTAAAATAAACTATTTATTTATTTATAACAATGGAAGGGGCTCCTCAACCTCTTACGGATCATTTTAGCCCTTACAAAATATTTATATTACATCAAACGAAATTAAATTTAACAATGAATTGAAAACACAAAATATTTAAAAGAAAAGAAAAAAAAGTCAGCAAAATTTAAATTTTGTTGTATAGGTAGGAACGTTATTTGTAGAAATTTACTAACATTTGATTTAGTTTAATCAATTAATTACAGTAAGAGGTCCCTTTTTCAAAGCTACCTTTTTTACACAGTAAACAATTTAATAAAATATTATTTATTTTTAATTTATTCATTTATTTGTTAATTATGATTTTAGTATATAATTTGTATTTAATATATTTCTTATGATAGTAATATTGAATCAATTAATGTGATTTTTTTGGAGTTAAAGAGAAAATTTTGGTTTGATAATGATAAAAAAAAAAAAAAATGTACTTTGGATTAGAACTCACTAGTTGAAAAACAATGTTGACAACGGAGAGACGCATTATCCCTTGAATCAGAATCATCTTCAGAATTATCTTCTTCACTTCCAGAACTTCCTTCACCTAAAAAACAATGACCATTACTTATCAATATTCAAAAACTATACCAAACGTATACACTTCTATAGAACTGCTGAACACTACTAAATGTGGACTTAACAAAATATCAAAATTTTGACATGAAATAAAATGGTAACCACTTGCCCACTCAAATCATTAGCTGACTTTTCTAAATTAATTGATGATTTATTTTGGTCCAGAAAATAAGTGTTTGGTACATAATAAACAAAACTAGTTTATTTTAATGGTTATTTGAAATTATTCAAGTTGAACAATTAAAATTAAATAAAAAATCTGATGTAGCATCACACAACTTTCACTTACCAATCTTAGAGTAGATAGGTACTTTCATATATAGTGAACTCAAATCGAAAATGACAGTATAACTTCATTTAAAACCTATTATTACCATAAGTCGTCAGAAAGATCAAACGTCAGTAAAAATTAAATAATACTATTTGTATAATTTAGTATTTATTTGACCGCACCCCCGATCAACTCCTTCTCATATTATTACCACGGCATGTTTAATATTACTTCTCATGTTTTTCACAGCTGTCGAATCTGTTATATTTATACTTTTGTGTCATTTTCCATTTTTTTTTTATGAATCTGTATAGCAGGGGTCTCTAAACATTTTGGCCCGCAGACCACATTGAGAACTCCACCATTAAGTCCCATGTGCCACATTGAGGCCTGCAATAAGTCCCACAGGCTGTATTACGATCTGCACTAAGTCCCCCCGGTCCCCGGCTTGTAATAAATAAATGACCTTTCATCTGTCAAATGAGGTTTCTAAGAGAAACAATTCATGCAATAAATGGTGTAGAAACCTCCTTCCTGTTTGAGAGATTTACTTAATTTTGTATTTTTTAAATATTTTAAAATGTTACCATTTAATTAAAAAAACCTTCACGGGCCGGATTGGAGGTGCTTGCTGGCTGCAGTTTGGAGACCTCTGGTGTATAGCATCAAACAGTACTAATGATTGTAAAAAAAAAAATGGATCTTTTGGAAAAATCCTGAGTTTTATTGGAAACATTTATCACGAAACCAATAAAAAAAATATCGGTCATCTGTAAAGGGAGAGGATTGTTTAAGGTCAGGCGCTCTCGGATGTTTCCGAACAGCTTCCAACCTTTATTTCTTCTTTAGTTACCAATCAATTTTCTTCATTCATTATATTCAACCATTTTTTATATTAGTTTACAATGTGAAATGGTTAATTATTTCAAATAAAAAGAAATAAAGATACTTTAGGGGAAGATATTTTGAAAATTAGGTATTTAAACCCTGTTATACAACATCAATGAGAATAAGATCGACATTATAATAAAAACAGCATAACTTTACACTGATATAATGAATTTAATCAAAATCGTTAGAGCTGTTTGGGATAAAATTGTAAAAATGTGTAAAATCGGTGATATAAAGTTGAACTTCCAATTAGCCAATTTTGACAACAAAGTTGCTGTAAAATAGCAAGCATGTTCAAACCATAATGCAATGTCAGACATTATTTTGCGGGACTTGGTTATTTGGACTCAGGGGACCTCAAAACAAGTATTTTCGTTGAAAACTCAAAAAGTCAAACATTTTCACATTACAATACTTTCCCTTACTATATATACAAGGATGACTCGGTTCTTAATGACCAAATTCTTGGCGATGATTTTACACCAAATTTCAAACAAAAAAGTTCATTTGATACATGGATCGATTCCAAACGGAAAAGGAATTAAGACCAATTTTGTGTTTGTCTCAAAAACCGTTTAAGATAATAAAATTCTAAGTGCACCATCATAAAGTAGAATTTTTTTTTTTAGAAAACTTTTTTCTAATTTATTTTATTTTTTTTTTTGGCATCCTCGCCGTTAAGGCTATATGGGGTTTTCCCGGGCCCGGGGGTGTGGGCGGGGATTTAAAAGACCCCTTTTTTAGAAAAGAGTGATAAAATTTCTTAAGGTCAATTATAAAAGGGACTTTACGGTAGTAAGGTCTACTACGGCCATATTAGACCTCCTGAAAGTCCCTTTTATCTTTGACCTTAGTAAATTTAAAGTCCTTTTCATCATTGTTCTTACTAAATTTAATCACCGTTTCCTAAAAAAAAATTATAATTTACAATGGTGTACTTAGAATATAATTATATTGAACAGCATTTGAGCGATTCCTTCTTATTCAACAAAAACCGTGATTACCTAAGAAAGACAAAATTTGTCTTAACTCCTTTTCCATTTGGAATCGGAATTGAAATTTTGTCTAGAATCAGCCCCCAGAGTTTGGCCATTACGGCCATATTTGTATATTACAAATACAAATAAGTGAAAGTAAAAATATACCACTATAAAATAATATCCCAAAACAATATTATGAGGTCACAAGAAAAACATTACTTACAAATTTTATTTACATACAACTCTTTATTCTACAATTAGAAACTATTTTTCTTTTGAATACTTAATAGTTGACAGTTTTATTATTAATAAGGAAGGAGATGGTCCTAAGGGGTGGCGGTCATAAATAGACTAAATAGTGGCAAAACTATTAAAAGCCAACGTTTCGACCTGACTTTGCAGGTCTTCTTTAGGGAGGTGTGTTCAGAAAGGAGTTTCACTTAGAACTGAGTTACTTAGAATTCAGTTCTAGGTGAAACTCCTTGCTGAACACACCTCCCTGAAGAAGACCTGCAAAGTCACATCGGAACATTGGCTTTTAATAGTTTTGCCACTATTTAGTCTATTTATGACCGCCACCCCTTAGGACCATCTCTATTTTTCTTTTCTTTTTTTTTAATTTTGAAAGTATCATCGTTGAAAAAGAAAAATGAAGTGTAAAATTTAAAAATGGAAATGTTATGGTCAGTCAGTTTATGGCCAAAAATCACTAAGCAAATTATTGATGGAGCTCAACTTTTATTTTAAGTACATATTCGTGAATTATAATCAAATTTATCAATGCAAAAACTCATTAGTGCACCAACATAACATAAACTTTTTTATATGTCAAACGATGGTACAATAAAAACATAACATCCTTCATAGAGGGGAAATTCATCAAAATACTAAGATCAATTAATATTTTAAAATTTTCTCTATGACTTTTTGCAATAAACATATATATATTCATAGATATATATAGATATATTCATTTTTATGAACACATCTTTTTAAAGACATTTTTAGAAAAATAACAAATATTTTCGAGATAAAATTAAAATATAACCTAAAGTTAGGTTAACTACAATTAAGAATCAAGACATACCAATAATTTTATTAAGAAAACCTAACGTAAACAATATCAGTATCCTATTCAACATTTGTAACAAATAGCATTTAAGAAACAATTAACTTTAAAATCGTAATGGTGTTAATAGTTAGACATCACAAACACCTTGAAAGATATGAACAAAACAGACTAAACTATTTTCAAAAATAATTATTGGTCAACAGTAGATGAATAAGATAAGACAACTTTCAACAAAAAAAATTCAAGTTTTTTACAACTAGATTGTTATTACAGTTTTTGTAAATGAACACAAACCTTAATTCCAACTCTCATAATTAATCCTATTAGAATGTTTTTGTTACTACTGTTTATGTCAATGTTTACTTCGACTAATCCTTTAATTTCCTGTGACTTGAGTTGGCTTTATGAGGTCATCAACATTTTTAAAAAGCACGTGCAATGTCAGAAGAAAAAAAATGTGATTCGCAGTCTTTTGAGGCATAACTGGAAAAAAGGTCTAAGAGCAAAGGTTGCCACTGAAGAAATTTGTGCCATAGAAGGAAAGTCAATCATTCACTGAAACGTTGAAGGCATTTTACATTTTAAGCTTGTTTCTGATGATCAAGCAGTGAAATCAAACCTTTACTGTGAACAGAGGTTTTGCAATTTTGAGTGCAAACTAACCCACTTTGGTCACTAGGAACGAAGGCATTTTGCAATACAACAATACCCTTGCACATCATTTTCGTTTTTCTAAGGAAAAATCACTTGCATCCAACAGTTAATATTATCAATAGTTACATTTTTTATAATACAAACTAGACGTAGAAACAAATCATGAAATTTTTCTACTGTTAACTGACTAATCCTGTTCATCCACATTGCTATATTTTGATAAATATCACAGAAAAAACAATTAAGTTAATTTTTTATAATATTGCCGTTTGTTTTGTTTATATTAAAGAGGGTAAATTAACAACACTAAAAGCAACAAGAACACACCACACATACCTTTTTCATTAGGATTTGGAGAAGGCCTGGAACCTCCAACAGCTGAAAAAGTAAACTTAATTATAAAAAAAATCACTCTCTTCACACATTCACTATGGCTTAACATGGAGATGTCAACCTTAATAAATTGTAAAAGTTATATCAAAGTTCTTATACAGACTTGACTAGTGTGAGAGAGAGATCTTTATGTAGCTCTTCAAAACAAAATGTAATAAAAGCAAGGATCACACATGAATCCAACGCCCAAAAACATTAATTTCAAAGCAACATTAACACAGCATAGCCTAAATAATTTATTTTAATTTAATGAATAAATATCCGTATTATAAATTTATCCCATCCCACTTTCTCCTATCAATATTCATATAATCATAATTTGATTTAAAATTTGAAAAACTAACTATTCAGCAAAAAATGATATACTCATGATAACTAGTCAAGTTTTAAGATGTATTATTAAAGTAAATTAGATTCTTATTTAAATACTAAGAATGACAAATATGTAGAATGTAAATCAAAATTTACATCTACAACCAAATAAATTCTCTCAAAGCAAAGCTAAAGTTTATATTATCCCATAAAAAATTGAAGAATAATAATCAGGCATAGTGAACCTAGAGGTTTAAGGCTACTACTATTAACAATCGTCGCCTATAATCCAGCCAAAAAAATCATATTATATTATCTAATCTATGTAATACAAAGTTCTGGTACGAAATGAAATAAATAAAAAACAAAAAAGGTATAAACAAGGCATTATATGTAATGGCAAGATAAAAAATACAAATAATGATATGGATTAGAAAATATGGCATTGCATTAAGGCAAAGTTATGGGTCATAACAGACATGTATATACAGTCAAATATATATATTGTTAAATCCATTATTTAGACTTCACTGTGATATTTATTCGACTAACCTTTTCCAAATTACAAACAATAAATAAATGTTAGATTGCCAGAGGCATAAATTACATTAGTAGCACGGTTAAATTTAAAGAAAGTGCACAAGAACAAAATTATATGAAACACACCTTTATGCATTAATAGATTCTATCTGTGTAACAAAGGTAATTTAAAAGTTATGATTATTAATTATAAATAAATAATTGATTTATAATACTGTGAAAAAAATATAATATGTGCATAAAACAAGTAATCTTAAGTGAATTGAAACAAAAATTAGTAACTAAAACTGCAATTGTATTAACAGCATAAAGGAATGAAGGTTATGGTTATAAGCAAAAATAAAAATGATGAAAAAAAAAACAAAAAAATAGAAAGCAAAAAAACAACATACAAGGCGGAGGTGTAGGTACAGTACCAGGTGGTTCTTCTTTTGTTCCAGTTCCAGAACGGGGCGAATTCCTTGTATTCCTGATTCTCCTTAAAGAACCTTGTCGCCTTCTCCGATGAGGTCTGTTATTGTTAGCACCAGGAGTCTTCTTCCATAAGTAATAAAATTCTACCAATTCCGGCTGATAACACATCACACATTTAAGTTTCATAAAATGTAATAAAATAAATTAATTTATTAAAAGGAGAAATAATAATTAATAGAAACCACATACAGAGTAATTGATCATGAAGCATTTCATAAAAGAGCTACAATCAAAACTCTCAGAGTAGTGAGAAATAAATTACTAACAACAATTAGTAATTAAAAATTAATGTCTGAAATTATATTGCAAAAATATAGAGTGATTTCCAGGACTGAAATAAAATTTCACTAATTGTCATTTAACAATCAAATTTTAACAAAACATACATATAAAAAAAAGTAGATTGAATTATTTGCAATATTTTAACATACCTAAAATTTAAAAAAACTAACCACAACTTCAGAAACTAAAAACTAACATACTAACAGCAATACATTTTACTTTAAAAAATCAATTCATATTAAAATAAATAAGCCAAAAATATTACTTCAGTAATACATGTTGTTTCAGAATGTTCTAACACAACCTGAGTTATAACATCAAAAAGTACTATATTACTATATATTATTACCATTATACCTCCTAGTAGGCTATAATCATTTTTCAGTTGTTTCCTAAAAGTAAGTCTAAAAGAAAGAAATTTCTGGCAAAAACTTAGTATCACATCCTTAGTTTTAAAAACATGTTTGTTTTTTTTGTTTTTTAAAAATAGTCTTGAGGTCTTAATGAAAAGAGGTAAACCTGTACTGACTTGATAAAGGAATAATAATGACTAAGAGCTGGTTCACATGAGACAGTTATTAGGGTACATTACAGTTGCCCAGCTAATAAGTTATTAGTTAAGCCAAGTGTGAAAATCTAGAGGTCATGATGGTCGAGATTGTAAGAGCATTGCCTGCTTTAGCATTTTAGAGTCTAGTGATGCCAGCTCGAATCTGGCCTGGGTGGATTCATTTTATGGGGGAACCATTTTTCCTTGGTCTGGTGGGAAGTATACGGCCAGGCATTATCTTGTAAAACATAACTCCTTAGCAGTTAACTTAAGCTGGATAACACAGTGACAGTTTTGAGTACATTCTATGAAACTGTCCGCAATAGAGGTCAGAGTTCATTGTGCATCCACCAGGAACAAATTCATGATGGATTACTGCTTTTTAGTTTAATAAAACACGAAGTATTGATTTAGTTTTTTTCAAACTGTTCCCTTACAGCAACCGGAAAAGCAGTGGTATCAGGATTTTACCAGTAAATCCACTTTTCTTCACAAGAGATAATTTTTTTGTGCAACCGCAAATCAGAAGTATTTTTTAAAGATTATTGCAAATTTCCACTCTCTTAATGGCTTGCAGGGGCGCAAGCTCATGTGGTGGTACCAGTCTACTACTCCTTTTTACCTTGCCCATGGCCTATAGATAGCGTACAGTGTCTTTTGCCACACCACACTTTTTGGCGAGATTATGAGTATTTGTGGATGGATTTGATCCTGCAGCTGCTGATGAACTTTAATATCGAATGATGGCCCCGCTGAGCATTTCTTCCTTCCCAAGGACATATCTCCACTAGAACATTTTTGGAAATAACTCCGAGCGGTTCACTTATCAAGGACACCTTCAGCTTTGTTGGTTTCACGAGGCACTACGATTCATGCATTTGACCAAACTGCCATTCTTTTTAAACAGCCTATTAAGTTGGCAGAGTATTTGATATTTCAATAATCACACCATTATACGATAAAACAAGATAAATAGACAGAAAGATTACATTTTATATATTAGTAGATACAATTTGATCACAGATATAATGGGTGTTTTTAAATTTTGATTGATTCATATGACATCAGAATAAATGAAAACTTACAGTATCTTTATGTGGAAGAAGATCTTTTTTAATTCGAAAGAAATTTTTTCCAAATTGACGAAGGCCTTTTACAAATCGTTTCTATAAAGAGAAAATAAAATAAACAAAACTAAAACTTTATAATACCATAATTTAAGGAATAATAATTTGGCAAATTAAAACTTACTGTTTCTTCCTCACACCACTTTTTTTCTATTCCTTTCGGCACAGGACATTTAACTAATGCTTGTAATGCTTTACCAGGATCATAACCAGAATCATGTAGCTGTAACAATTTTATTTTTACTAAAAATAATAATTGTAGAAAAAGTTGATACATTTTTAATAAATGATTTCATACAAATCCAACAAGAGAGCAGCCATAGGTTTAAATGGATATATATTCAATGTATCAAAAGTTTATTTTGAATGGTTACATCAAGGACTAATGATGAATTTAAAATTCCAAAATTTTTCACATTATATATAACTTAAAAATTTATAGAAAACATCACAAGACATAGCATATAAACTTAATTTAAAAAATGCTTTACTAAATTTAGTGAAAAGATTATTGGATTGGCTTAGGCATAATGTAGATAATGTAAAAATATATAATTATGCTTCATATTCACTTTCTTATTAAATACTGGAAATTACATCAACAATTTCAATAAAATTATTATTTTAAAAAATTCCCCAGGTATGAGAAGGCAAAACCTTCATAGCATATTTATTTTTTCAAATTATATAATTCGTCAATTGAGAGTTTAAATTACAATTGCTTTAGCAATTAATAACAATGTTTTGAAACTTGATACTTTTAAATTTTATCTCTAGATATAAACTGAAAAATAGTCTTGTAAGGTATGAAATGGTTATCATGATACCCAGAGAATAAGGAATGAAAAAGACTGCACATAAATCTAACTAGAACTCATTGGATGATTTGTTAGTGGTTTTAAAGATAGTCCAAGTCAAGAGGATAGATTATAATCAAAGAAGAAAAGTTGTTTGGGTTTCAACTTGTTTAGTAGTAACTTTTTATTCTATTTTTCATTTTTTTTTAGCCAACAAATTATCAGGAATTTCTCTTTCTTATGAATTAGGCGAAAATCATTCTATTCCCTGACATTTCCTCATTTTTCCATGTCTAAATATACAATAAAACAGTTAGTTTTGAAACAGTTCTCAATCTATTTTCAAAAATTTTACCATAGACACCAAAAAATAACAGTACTTATTTGACCAAGGAAACCCATGGATTCGAACCCATATTTATCCTGAACAAAGATGCTTTTGGCCAATACAGCTATGTTAGATGATTTATTGCATTGAAAACATATGAAAAAAAAGTAGATTACACTAGTTGAGGAACTAAATAAGTACTTCATATATGGAAAACAAAACTATCAGCTGTAACAAAAAATATTCAAATTAAACAGAATCTATTTCTATATTATATAGAAATATTGAACGTACAACATCAAGGGCATTAAGAGTAGTGTCATCCCTTGATGCTGCAATGCAACCATCATCTGCTGAACCTCCATCACACATTCCAGCAAAAGCAGCCATTGATCGAGCAGCCCGAAGATACATAAGAAGATCACAGTCAAGAGTCATCGCTGGGGCCCATCGCAGTTCCTCTCTTTCCTTAGATAGTTCAGGATCAGCATCACCACTACCCGCATTGGCTCGGAATTCAGGAAGTCTTGCCTAAAAAAATTAAAACATTGTTTATTATAAACGAATGAAAATATTAATTAAAATATAATTCAACACTGAAAAAATTCACCCAATATGACTTTTTTACGGAGTTACATAGTCCAGAAATTCAGTCGTACCAAGTTAATAACAGATTAACAATGATCTCAATTGTAAACAAACTTTCTTAATTACAGTAGAACCACCCACCCTTATCAGGATCTTCAATACCAGAAACATTTTTTGTTCTTTATGGTTTTATAGTTACATTTGTTTATATCCACAATAAACTGATAAGAAATACAGCATAATATCAACAAAAATTTGTAATTTAAATTAAGTAAATGAACATATTGGTTGGCAAATATGTTCTTTCGGTTTTTCTGTTTATTTGTATGCCACTATGACATACTTCTGATGTGATGAATTAATCCCTAAGGTGGATTGTTTATCCTGTTTGTAATATGTCAACAACTATATTTGTTAACTCTAGTCGAAACTAGCTATTGCACTGTGAATATGGAAGAAAATATCATTCATTATCGGCATATTTTGTTGTATTATTTTAAAAAAGGTAAGAGGGCTGCAGAAGCTGATAGAAAAATTTGCAGTATTTTTGGGGATGATACCTTAACCGAATGCACCTGTCAAAATTGGAAATTTTGACATCAATGATGCTTAAAGGTATGGTCGCCCACATAAAATTGAAACAAGCAATGTTAAGGCCATTGTTGATCAAAATCACACCCAATCAGTGCAAGAGATTGCTATAGCCCTATAGCATAGAAAACCATTTGCACAAGCTCGGCTATGTTTCTAGGCTTAATGTTTGGGTCCCTCACTCTCTAACTGAAGTCAACTTGGCAATGCATTTCTGTTTGTGATTCACTACAGAAACAGCAACAAAACAATCCATTTTTGAAAAGATTGGTAACGAGATGAAAAATGGATATTATACGATAATGTAGTCCATATATAGCCTTGGATGGGACATTTTGCCCCACCCTCCCTATTCGCCAGACCTAGCTCCAAATGACTACCACTTATTCCAGTCACTACAGAACTTCGTGAATGGAAAGAAATTCCAAAAGAAAGAGGACATAAAAAACCACTTGGATCAGTTTTTTAACAATAAACTCCAGACATCCTACGAACATGAACATGGCATTATACAGTGAGTGGAAAGATGGAAAAAAGTCATATTAAATAATGGTCAATATATTGTAGATTAAAATAAATTTTATGTCTGTAATACATGGAGTTTTATTTCATGCTAAAAAATGAAAGAACTTATTTGCCAACCCAAAATATTAATCCAAAATTTTAGCATGTGAAGGTTTTTATTATTTTATGAAAGGGGTGCAACTCAAAAAGTGCTGTTTTTAGAAAACCATCAGTAAAGTTTTATAATTTCTTAAACATGAAAATATCGAGTTGGTTTTTAAAATGTTTATCTTTTTTTATTTGGAGCTTATGAAACTCTGGTTTTACAATATCTGTTCCTCCTCTGTTTTCGTAGTAAAAATCTGGTGCAGTGCGCGCATTACACACGTGCAATCCACTTACCACCCACTTAGCAAAAACAAGTATTTTCAGATAAAGAGGAAGTGAAAGTAAAAATTATAGATGCTATATTTATTTATATTTCATTGTGGGTCTTTTTATTTGTTTAGGTACCCTTATATATACAAATTTTATTGAAATTTTAAGCATTATAATTAGATACTAAAAACTGATGAACACCCACCATTTGTGCTTTAAACTTGAATCCTAAGATAATTTGAAATGAAAATATTTTTTTATTATCCTCGGAGTGTTGTCCCTTTAGAATAAATTATAAATACAGAGTAAACACCAGTCTGGCCATATGTTATATTAAATACTTACAAAATAATAGGTAATTAAAATAAAAATATAGAAGGAAAGAGAGAGCGAGAGAAAGAGAAAATATATCTCATGATTCAAATGGAAAGCAAATGAGTATTTATGAGTTTTTAGTACCTCATTAAATTAAGCAATTTATTGAGAAAGCGCCCTATTCATGAGAATTTTGTCCCATTTCGAAATCATTCAAGAGGTTTTAGGCAGATGTTAATAATTTGATAAATAGAGGTCTGTACCACAGACTCATATCTTCATCATTACATTTTTAACTGTTAAATAATAATAACATTTACTTCTTATATTTTAGGAGAATAAAATAACTGATATTTAAAATAAAGAGAATTCCTTATACAGCAGAGATTTAAACAAAATTATTTAATTTTTTTACTTGATTTAGTCATTCTTACTATTCAGATTTTGGGATCTCATTAGCATAAAATTTCAAATGATAATTAATTGAGAATTAGTCAGATAAAATTACAAATCTTAAATGTTATAAACTTACTTGATGAGAAGGCCCTACTCTAATTTCTCCCTGAGTTGATACCATTTTTACAACAGCCTCTGAAAACAATCATTAATGTATGTTAAATCTGTAACAGTCTCATTTAAATAATATTTTAAAAACTTTTTTTTTTTTTTTTTTTTTTTTTTTTTTTTTTTTTTATTGAATAATAATACAATCAGCCACTGTTGGAGGGCTATAAGTATTAAGGCTAAAAGTTCTCATTCATACAGTATATACAAGTAATACAGAAGTAACTATAAATATAAAAGTAAATAAATAATACTTATAAAAAAAAATGTAAATCAATAGAAAAAAAAATAAAATAAAATAAAAAAAATAAATAAACAAAATAAAATAAAAACTTCTAAACACATTCATACCTATATACATTCGCCCAGGAATCTCTGAGCCAGCCTTTTCTCCCCACATGTGGAAAGCAAAGCAGGACTCCAGAGATCCCAGTGCCACTTTTCCAGCCGCATCACTAGTATTAAAAGCCAGTGGAGGCTGAAGGAGGGCACTAGAGCCACAGATGCTCAGGACTTGAGTGGAGAAGCTGGCCATTGCCAGGACTCCAGAAGCATATTTACAATAGATCTCGCGGCCACTGCCGTTTTAACCTTCGAGGGGGATTGTAGGGATGGTGGGAGCTGGATAGGGATTGAGCTAGAGGATTTGGATGATGGATAAGGTTCTGGTGAAAGTAAATTTTAAAAACTAAGATCAATGAAGACAAATAGATAAAAGATTATTAGGTATATCCATAAGTACGTGCAACTATAACAGACAGAACAATTGATTGTATAGGTCAAACACTTTTTCTAGCCAGGGTGAAAGTCAAATTTCACTCTGCAAATCCTAACTATTTTAAAGTCAACATCCCCAGATCAGATTCAAACTGTAACCACTTCTGATTCAAGAATATTGAAGTGCTACATCAAACGTTAATGATAATACTTCCATTCATATTTTCGACTTATGATATCTTAATAACAAAATTGTAAACAAAAGTTATGGATAATAACAATATTAATACAGTTATGATACATGAGCATCACAGCAATTTGAAGGTATTAAAGAAATTTGTGTGGATATGATTTCAAACCAAAGAACAACTGCAGACAAATCTTTCTTTAAAAAATCAATTAGAAAACTGTTTCAATGAGTAGTTCTGTCAGTCATAGCTTCATTTAAAAAAAAATTAAATTAAACCAAACTTAAATTTGTTCTCTTTGTGATGTATGTATGAAATAAAAGACCTGGCCCAAAAATTGAACACCAATACACATGTTTCCCTGAATAACTAAAAAATATATTTATATTGGAACTATAAATATAATCGTATTACTTTGAGAATCTTGAGAGCCCATGCAAAATAATTAATGTTAATTGATGAAAACTTTGAAAGCATTTTTTTTAATATCTGTAACATTCATAATAAAAAAATGAGTCTACCAAATGGATCTTGCTACCTGTAAAAATGGCAGTTGATTTAAAGAATATTAAACTAGTAAGTAACTTGAAGATTATAACAGAAAATTCATTTGTGAAAAATCATTTTATTTTTTTAACTAGAATATATGGGTACAGACAAGTAAAAAACAAAATTTCTAATGCGGGCCACCAAGTGAAAACTTTTTATAAAAAAAAAAAAAAAAGCCAAATTTTTTAGATATTTTTTCACATATAACTCCTTAACTTTTGCATTAAAGTGAAAAACGTCCTCTTTAAGAAATTAAAGAACGTTAAATTGTACCTCGAATGAGTACCTAAACATAATAATTTGGTTGATATGATCGATAACTACGGTCAACGAACACTGATTTGTACTAAATTCGTCAGAAACTGAGACAAAGTATTCTTAATGGCCCTGCAGGTTGGAAATGAGTTCTCTAAGAGAAAAAACTTATAGAATAAAAGTTGTAGAGCATCCAATTCTGTGTCCACTAAGTAACAACAGTTTTAATGTAGGTCAATCGAATCGCAATTCATTATTTCTTCATGAATTTCAGTTTTTTCTGATACCTTCTTTCTCAAACAAGCCTATAGCTGTTGAGAGGCGGAAAAGAGTCACATACTTTATATTATACAATATGGGACTCTTTATAAACAGTGCTTATACAACACTTTTAACAAGAATAACTCAGTTGAATAGACAGCCATTCTGTTGAAATATTTCAAATCACAGATAGCTTCATTACCTATTTCCAGCCATCGGTATTCACTACCGATTTCGAGCAGAGTAAGTGACCTACGTTAAAACTGTTGGTACTCAGTGGAGGCGGAATTTGATGGTCTACAACTGTTATGCTATGAGTTTTTCCCCTTAGAGAACTTATTTCCAAGTTGCAGGGCCATTTAAGGAAATTAGCCTAATTTATTGAAGAATTTGGTAAAAATTTGGTCAAATTAGGCATTTGTTGACCGTGATTATTGAATATACCACTTAATCAAATTATTATTCTTAGGTACTCATTAAAGGCACAATTTAAAATTCTTTAATTTCTTAATGAATTTGGTATTTCTCACATCATGAAATTGGTTTTTCTCACGGTATAGAAGTTATATGTGAAAAAACAAAAAAATGTCGAAAAAATCTGGCTTTTTTTGCTATGAAAAGTTTTCCCTTGGTCACACACGTTAGCAAGTTTGTTTTTTTTACATGTCTAAACCCATATAAAAAAGTTAAAAAATAAATACTTTTCACACATTTTTCAAAATAAAATTTCCAGCTTAGATTCTCGAGTTACTAGCCTATCATTCTTTAAATCAGCCCCAACTTAGAGGTATCAAGATCTGACTGGCTGATACTAATTATTTTAAATTTAAATGTTATACAGTGGATCGAAAAAGTATTGGCACACTCCAATTTTTCTGTTAATCTCAATAGGATTAAGATATTTTCCATAAAAAATATTTATAAAACAAAGTGACCTTTGAGAATTATATTTTAGAAGTAATGAATGTTCAGAATTCAAAAGCTATGTTTAAAGTAAACATAAAGAGTAAATTTTGAGGGTCAAAATAGTATTGGCACAGTTTTAAATGTTTACTATTAGCTACAGTCAAAACAAGTTAATAGTTTTTCTTTCAAGAAATTAGAAACAAGGATTGATGGTAGTACAATAAAAATAATAAAAATCAGTATTAGTTTTATATTTTTCATAACAAAATGGGCAAAACCAGTGAATATTGTATCATTTTAAAAAAACACATGATTAAATTACATTCTAATGACTTAGCTACCGACAAAGGGAGAATAAATTAGAAATCGGTTTTATTGGTGTTCTAAATATTGTACAAAAGTTTTAAACATATCCCATTCAGAGCGGCCATCAAAATTTACTAAGATGGCACAAAGGAATATCCATCAAATTGTTGAGCAAAAATACACTTTATCAGCTGCCGAGATAGCAGAAGAGGTCGCATTTACTTCAATTAGAACCAACAGTTAGAAATATAATTCATAAATATAATTATTACCACAGATTTCAAAGAAAAAACCTTTAATAAAAGGTGAACCGCAAAAATAGACTCGAGTTAGCCAAGGTTAATTTAATAAAGACCTAGAATTCTAGAAAAATGTTATCTTTTCAGAAGAAAGTAGGTTTAACATATTTCCTTCTAATGGCCATAAGTTCATTTGGTCGAAATTTAACACTGAGTTTCAAACTCGACATGTGAGGCCTCCTGTAAAACATCAAGGTGGAAGTGTCCAGATTTGGGGCGAATGGCGAATAATATGTCGACATTTTGCGGCATAATTTAACAAGTAGAGCCGAAAATCTAAGGATCGAAGATGCATTTATCTTCCAGCAGGGCAATGAGGCCAAGCAAACACCAAATAAAACAAAACAATTGAGATGCTGTACAACGTCCCCCAGCAAATTGAAAACGCCACACAACAGTCTTCGGACATAAATGCCGTAGAACATCAATGGTACCTGTTGGATTTGAAAGTTTGGAAAATAAAATTTCTTTAAAATTATTTAAAAGAAACTTTGTCAGAGGAATGGTGTACTTGGTGTAATTGGACAAGACGAAACTCAAAATTTTATTTTGTTGATTCCAAGAAGATTCCAGAATATCATAGATGCCAATGGTATGACAAAATATTAATAAATTATCAGTTCATGAAATGAACCTCAATTAAAGTGTGCCAATACTTTTTTGACCGTATTGAAGTGATTTTTTATTTACTGAATTTTTTAATTAAGTAAATAAACTTTTTTTTAGTTCAATTATGTATTTTTCTAAATTTTTTATTATATAAAAATGTTTAGCTAATCAATTGTTATAATGAAACCAGAAAAAAATTAAGTGTGCTAATACTTTTTTGACCCACTGTTAATATTCAAAGGAATGCTTTCAATGTTTTCATCAAATAATGTCGATTTTTTTGCATGAGCTCTCGGACTATGTGAGGTCCAATTAATAAATATTTAACTATATTTTGGAGAAATACCAAGATTTCATTTTTTTCATATTATATTCATGCTCTAGAGAGAAAAAAAGTTCAAATTTTCATTAAATATAATTAAAAAATTCAAATTACATACATAATACAAATTAAAAATTATTTAGATATTATAATTATTATATCATAAATTTAATTAATTAATTATTATGTCATAAATTTTTACTAGATTCGTAAATTTAATGATAAGTAATTATTTCCTGAAAACTGTCAGGAACCAATTTTTTACTGCTGAATATGAGAGCAAAAAAATCTAAAAGCTATTTCAATATCATGAGATATTTTTAATTCATATTCTATTTGATATGAATTTTATTATTAAATAATTACTTAATAAAAATTATTTTTAAAAACAAATGTTAGCCTCTGTAAGGCAAGAATCAAAATTCTCGAAATTTCACTTAAATATAATTGTATATTTATTGATCCAAAGATCCTTAAAAAACAAACATTCAACAGAGACATAATCCATAATAAAAAAATAATAATAAAGATGCTCAAATAAAAAGCACTATGATCAAAGGACACAGGTTAAAACATTTAAGATAAGGATTATTACAAATATTACAAAAAAAAAAT